GTAACTATGTTTTCAGAAACTAAACATCTACGGAAAATGACTCCCTATAAAGTTAAATATAATGCATATCTTAAAACTGTCATTATCTTAAGGATGTATGTATCTTCAAGTCAGTTATTTTGCTGGTAGGTAGTTTAACTTTATGAAAGTAGAATAATATGACTCCTTAGTAAGGGCAAATATCCACTGACAGATCAAAATAAACATTTTTTCCTTCTGTTCCATATCAGACATCTGGTTAGATTTTTAGCAGCATGAAGTTGGTTCTTGTCTCTTATCAGTATGACAAATTTTAGGTGTTGGATTAGATACAGGTAGACTTAATCTAAATGGGTACTTAAAAGCAAGATGAAACTCCTCTAGGTTATTCTTGTATCCTTTATTTAGTCTGTTTTATTTACTATAGTTAAATTTTAAACACTGTTTACCAGCTGCATTCAGTTTCTATCACATAAAACTGAAATGTACTAGAGAAAATAAACTAAGACCAAATAAATTAATTTTTCTGTTTGTCTTTTGTCTTAACATTTCAAGATCAGACTTGGCTTGTATTTCAGGCTCAGGGTGCAAGAAAAGTTAAATAATGCTCAATATTTAGGCTTATTTTTAATACCCTTGTTTTGTTAATGGCCACTTATAGTGTTTATTAGAGGCTTCTAAATAGAAGGGCAGTAACTCCTGTAACTACCAATTTCCAAATGGTGTCTCTCTGTTTCAGCCCATCACAACAGTTTTAAAACCAGTTTTTGTTTTTTTGTTTTTGTTTTGTTGCTTTGTTTTGTTTTTTTAACAGGAGAGCCAGTGTAACTCCTTCAAGACTGGAGTGACACTCTGCATCTGCGTCTGCCTCATGTGAGTTCTCATTTTGGCAGCAGTACTCTGCTAGGCTGGAACCTCTGTAGAGGTTTGCCCTTCCTTTTTCTAAATTCTGTGAACTACTACACAGTGAGTCTTGATGGCAAAGGGAAAAAGTGCATGAGAATTCCAGACTTCCCAGCGGAAAGTTTTAGGCTCACTTCAAAGAAACTGTCTCCTCTAATGAAGGTTCTATCTCGTATGAATAGCATTTACTCAAAACAGAGCCCACAACTTTCATTCCCACAGCGTGCAGTTGATATTTTTTGTAGAGCTGTTCTTTCCTTGCAGATACTGGAATAAAGAGTATCTTTAAATGCTCTCGTAGTTTCAGCTTTCAAAACTTTGGTTGTTCTCTTTATAGTCTAGTTGCGTGACTTGAGAACACTGTGTGCTGCCCTAGTGGCTGAGACAGCACTAGGACTCTGACCCTTAAAATAACTTCTTTCTTTGTCTTTGGATATTAGGTAAATTAAGATAGACCAATGGACTTTCTTGAAGAAGCAATAAGCAGTGAATGGGTGAGGTTAAGTTTACTCTGAAACTATTGGCCGTATTTTGGAAGTCAGTTGTAAGAATTGAACTTGAAGCTATGCATCATTTACTCTCCAGTTTTGTGAAAGAAGATGAAATTACAGCCTTTGCAGCTGTGGAGAGGCATAGAGCTGTACTGTTTGAGGTGGTATATATGGTTCTCCACTGTTGTCAAAGCTAGCTTTGAAGGACATTGTTGATTAAAAAAAATTTTTTGCTTTCCCTCACTCTCCCTAAGGAGTAGTGGTACTTTGTAGACTTTAAGAATAGTCATTTTGCAGTAAGTCAGAAAAAATTGTGATTATTCCCAAGGGACACTTAGAATAAAACATCTACATGCTCTGTGCAGCTGCAATTCAGCTTCTCCAGCCCTGGGTGTACTGCATAGTTTTCTAGCAGATGATGTAATGGCCTAGGAATTTGTGTTACTGAAATGATTACCCAGGAAGCTTATGAGAAAATGTCAATAGCTTGTAGGTCTTACTGATTAACATGGAGCTTAGTGAAATAGATTGTGTTGTCAAAGTGGAACTTGGACTCTCTTTGCTAAATCCATTCCCACCTGTGACAGAAGCAGGTTTTTTTTTGATTAGGTGAAAGAATCTGGAGGGAGAGTAGTATGTTTCAGCACCCAAACTTAAATTCTGATGGTTTGTGTAATCTAGAAATTCATTTTTAACTGTGATAATATACCCCCCCAACAAAGAGCTTTGGATGAGTCTCAAACCTCAATTCTGGCTTTAGCTGATACTGTACATGCTATGTAACTTAAGGTCAGCAAATAGAGAAAATACATCATATTTTTGGGAAGTACCTAAACTCATTTAGAGAAAGGAAATTTGAAGTTTTTTTTATAGGTGAAATTTCTAGGTCACCTCAGTTGAATACTTGGGAAGTTCTGCCCTGGAATAAACATAGTGTGGCAAGTGTACAGTGTTTTTATTTTTCTGCTATCCTAGTGTTTGTGCTGGCAAAATGAGGATTTGAGAATTTCCCTCTTTTTTTTTTTCACTAAAAATTCAGAATAAATTGATTTGGGTTTCAATCCAAATTTTCTCATAGACACAGGTTTTAATCACCATTATATCATCACTGTATAATTACCTGATTTCTAACTAGGGAAAATTGTTCATTTAGGGGTGAGCTGGAGGGGGGTGATTAAGGTTTTTTTTTTTTGGTCTCCCATTCTTAAGGCATATCCAGCAAATAATGCTTCTGAAAAATTAATAACTGCAAACATTTTATATAGCGCCACATCCTATAAGAATCAGTGTCAATGTATTATCCAAACTACTTAGCTATACTGGAATTTTGTTTCATTTAATTTGTTTGCAATAAGTGGGGCTTTGTTAGGATTGAAAATGATGTTTGTTTTATGGAAATTTTGTTAAAATGAGATTTATTTTCAACTGGGTGGAAGCACAGGGTTTGGTGAAAGGTGTTATTTTGTATTCTCAAAATAATTCAAATTGACAGCAGTGGATGCTGTGCTCTCCTGGTTTTGTGGTAATGCATCAGATCTTACTGTTAGAGTGTATGAATATATAGCACTTCCTTTACCACAGGGTACATCTTCTAGCTTTAAGGATTCCAAACTTAAAACTTCAAAAAGTTTTATTAGCGGGTGGGGGAAAGATGAGGCTGCAATTGAGAGGAGGAAAAAAAAAGAACCTATTTTGAAAATGTTAGCTGGGGTTAGCATTAACATTACATTATTATTACCTCTGAGACAACAAAAGAAATGATAGCTTCTTTTGGTAACTGTTCTGATGAGATGACTCACACATTTCCTGAAGGACCTTCAAAATTTTAGTCTTTTTAAATACGGCATGTTTAAAGGATTTCAAAAGCTTACCCTGCTTTTTAAATTTTTTGATTTAATTAAAAAGAATAAGTAAATACATTAATATGTTACAAGTTTGAAAGGTATAAAAGAAGGTCTCCTTCATTTCCCTGTTCCTTATCCACTCAATTCCCTACTGTGGAGGCAATCATTATTACAGGTTTCTTTTCTGTACTTCCAGAAATATTCTGAAGGATTGTTTTTAGAAAGGGAGAAAGGGAAACTTGCACTTATTATAATATTAGTACTAACTAGATAGGCAGACTAATTGCAATGAAAAGTCAATTTGAGCCACAGCCACAGGCTGGCTGTATGTGAATCCTAGAGAGAACTGTAATATTATAATAGTAGTTGCATTATTATGAGACATAAGAATAGAATGGATTTTTTTTTGGCCTTATTTCGTATTTAGCAAGATTGCAGGTCTTTTTATTATTTTTAATATTGCTTACCCTCTCCTAGAGACTTGTGGAAGGATGCTTACCTAAACATTGCATTTGGAAAAAAACCTGTTTAGAGGAGCAGAATTTTTGCAATGATGATTCTAAGAAGTTTTTTAATTATGGAAAATTTCAGATACATACAATAATAGAAAGAAATCCCCATGCTTTATTTTACCTGTAACTGACTCAGTATGATGCTTAGGCAGAAAAGGAGATCTGTTTATTTTATACACACTTGCACATATACCCATCCTTCTGTAATCACATCTAATAAAATGAGTCATAATTTAATTCTCTTTTTTAATGCTTTTTTCCAGTTTTATTGAGAAATAATTGACATACATCACTGTATAAATTTAAGGCATACAGCATGATTGTTTGGTTTACATATATAGTGAAATGATTACCCCAGTGCAGTTAACATCCACCTCTCCATATAGGTATCAATAAGAGACAGAAAAAAAAATAAAGGAAAAACAGTTTTTTCCTTGTGATGAGAGAGAGAACTCTTAGGATTCACTCTCTTAACAGTAGTTTAGCTATAGTTGTCATGCTGTACATTACATCCCTAGTACTCATTTATAACTGGAAGTTTATACCTTTTGACCACCTCCCTTCAACCCCCCTCCCTTACCCCTAGACATAATACTTTAATGTGTAATTCTCAGTTCACATCCAAATTTCCTTAATTGTCTCAGACATGTTCTTTTATGGTTGATTTTGCAGGAGTAACTTGTAAAGTGTAGTTTTGATGACTGTAATGTTGTTAGGGCTGATAAGAAAACAAGTTAATCCTGACAAATAAAATTATGCTGATTGGAGGAGTATAAAGCAGATACCAAGCCAAATAGGAATTCCAAAAATAGACTGGTTTCTTTAAAAAGCTCAGTTTGAAAGATTCCTGCACCAATTGTGCACATCAGTGAAGCCTTCAGCATACATAGACCTCTCTAGTTTTCTATTTAGTTATATTCTCACTCATATCACAGCTGTGCATATTGGGTTTTTTTCTGCCTGTAGATGGTGAGCATGAAAGAACAAAGAAATAAAAATGTTTGGACTTGGTTTCCTAAGAATGAAGGAACTGTTCTGAAATGTCTGATAATTCATCTTGTTGCTGCTGCTCCAACTAAAATATGACCTCTTTCCACAGACTAACAGTGCAGTTCTGTAATTACTCCGGGCAGTACAGAACATGGAGTTTTGGGGGGAAAGAAAAATGTCAGATTTAGGAAGAGGGAGGAACTAAGAAATAGTAGAAATTCACTCACTTGCCTTCTATTTTAACTGGCTTTTCTTTTAATGAGAGCCTCCTCTTTGTGCAGTGTACAAGTCCCCAGAGTATGAGTCCCTTGGCTTTGAACTTACTGTGGAGAGATTAGTTTCTATTGGCTATCCTCAGGAGCTGCTCAGCTTTGCTTATGATTCTACGTTCCCTACCAGGTAATGTTTCAAAAATTTTTTTGGGGTTAAGATCCCTCCCTCTGTCCTCAAAATTAATAATTCTAAGTATATACCTGGTCCAAAAAATAAAAAATATATATATATATGTTTGTTTTGGTTGATGTTGATTCTAAAACTACAATGGACTTTTCATGTACACCATATCTTTTGTTTTCTTGACTTGAGCTTAGTTTATTGTTTCTAAGGAAGATTCACTAATGGGAAAGAAAAGGAATTAATTATTCAAACTGACGGACAGTAATTACAGATGCTCCTGCCTTTGGCTATTGGAGAGCAGTTACATATTTTGCTACTACGTTTAACTTGGTCATCAGGAGCTTTCTTGGTAGTTTGTATTTCTTGATTTGATAGGAAATATTTGAGATTAAGAAAGATGATGTTTATTTGAGGTACCATCATATATGTCTTGTATACAACAGTTAAACAGAGGAAAATACAAGCTAGCTCAGTTGTCCAAGGAAGTTAAGACACTTAGAATGGAACCAGCAGTATTAAGAGGAATCATAGTTTATACTGTGTTTGATTAAGCTCTTACTTCTTTCAGAAATCAGTTGTGTTATTTATCTGGCCAGAGTAAAAATTTTTTAGTTGTTCTTGGATTAATTTTTAAGATTTTATTCACTCACTTTAGCCTCAAGGGTTATATTGTTTTGGGGACATTCCTTGAGTTGCCATAATGCTTGAATAAGATAAGGTTGGTTCATGGTGATTGAGACTGCATAAGATTATTGCCTGTATTACTTTGCATTATTGACTATGTCTTCATTTTCACATAGGGGACTTGTCTTTGATACATTATATGGAAATCTTTTGAAAGTTGATGCTTATGGAAACCTCTTGGTCTGTGCACATGGATTTAACTTCATAAGGGGGTGCGTATGAAGAACCTTTAGCCTCTTTCTAGTGTTTTTATAGTAAAAAAACATGAATATGACATTGTCTCCCCAGATATAATATACTTTCCTATTTCCTCATCACTAAAGAGCAATTCCTTTTCAAAAGGATATTCAACAATTATTTATTAGGCAGTTAGGACCCAAACTGACTTATAGTTAGCACTTAGATTTTGTTTAAATTAAGTGCCTTCTAATTATATATCTTCTAACAAAACTAATCTTGAACTTGCCCAGAAAGAACTGTAGTGGCTTTGACTTACTTGAAATTCTAAGATTTTTATTTTCTCCTTTTTAATACAGTTCTCAGATAGCTGCTCAGAAGAGGTATGTACAAATACATAAAGTACTTTAAAATTTTAATACTACAGCAATGTATATGATTAAGATTTTTAACAGCTAATACATTATTTTTTATATTTTAATGAATAGCTTCAGATATTTGGTCATGTGGTTAAAATTTTTTAAAACATGGGATTAAGAATGAAAACAGGGTGGTAATATTTAAAACAAGGATAAGCTTTATCTTCATATCAGAATATTTCCACTATTCTCACTAATTTGGACTTTCCACCCTAACAAACAGCAGATAAAATTTAGTGTCCATTATTTTTTGGTGAAACATTCCAATTTTTTCCTCAGAAATCACAATACCACATTGGACAATTTCTATAATTGTGGCTTTACAATTACACATTTTCTCTATTATACTACCTAATTTACTACTGATACTGTATTAGGGTCAGAACAATTCTTTAAACCAAAATAGGTTATGTGTCAGTCTCTTGTGTAACTTTTCCATACATTATTCATTCTCAGTGGTAAAGTAATAAAACTGCACTTCTACATTGAAATTGTTAAGGAGGCATTGTCTTTTTGGTTATGACAAGAGGCATAGTAAACTAACCGAAATTCTACCAGTTTCCTTTAAATCTGAGGTCACAGCAATGCTCTATTTGGAATTGAAGTATCTGATACAGGACTCTTCAACTGTAATTAAACAGGCTCAAAGATTTCCACGTATGCATAGTCAGAACAGTGTGAAGTAAACACCTCCACCTGACACATCTGGGCAGGCCAGTGGTTATGCCTGCCTTTTCACTGTTCCTTTCATGAGGGGTTTGTTAAACATCATGAATATGAGGAGGCAAGATTAAAACAAGAAGTGATTGCAAATAGCACTAGCAATGTAGGCTATTTACATATAGACATTGTCACTGTAATTCAGAATCCCAGTGAAGATGAACCAAGGTTCTATTTAATGTCTAAAAAGGGATTTTTATGTTACAGGGGAGGGGTAGTCAGAGAAGAAAAGGAAGAGAAACAGTTATATAAATTAGTATTACAGTTAGATTTACTAACCCAAAATCCACAGACCTCTTGTCTTCCCCCAAATAAGCCAGTAAAATTTGCAAATAGTTCCTTTGGAAGTATGTTTCCAAAAAAAAGTCATTTATGAATAAATGCAGAATCATTCAAACAGTTCTTAGCACTGTACAGTATTTAGGGTCAAAAGGAAAAGTTTGTGGAGAAGAGAGACTGAAGCTGGAGGGAAAGAGAGACACTGAAGTGGTGGTGAACATGGCTGGGAGGGAAGTTAGGCTCCAGCAGACATCACCTTACATGCCTTACTAATGAGTTGGGGCCTCTCTTTTGGACAATGGCAAGGGCCTTTAAAGATTTAGAATAGGATAATACTGATGTCAAGTCTTTGTTCTGTGGGTCGCAGAAAGTTAGCAGTAGTGTGGAATACAACTATTTTCCTCCCAAGTCCCTGTCTAGCATTCCTTCTTTTATGATACATTTCCTCCCTCCACAAATTAATTTTTATTTTAAATATATACTAGCATGATTTGACAATTTAAACAAAATATAATTGCTAACTATAAATAAGTAAACAAATCTTTATATTTGAATTGCCTAATACATAACTGTTAACTCCTTATGTAAAGCAATTACTCTTGAATGGTGGAGGGATTCAGAAAGTCTGTTGTATTTAAGGGGACAATGTCATCTCACTAAACCTGACTAAGGAAAGCATATCATTACTATTCCCTTCTGCCTTAACTTTCATTATAGAAAATCTTGGAAGTCTAGATGGTGAGATAGTCTACAAAGTTTTCTTTTTTGGGAACTCTTATATCAGGAGGGTGACTAAACCAGGGAGCTAATGTAATTTTATATTCCTAACTAGAGTTTATGTCATTTGTGGTTAACAAACCCAAGCAGGAATTCACCCCAATTACTCTGAGTATGAACTTTAAATTTGGTGTCCTTTGTTTAGATTAATCTCCATATTTCACCATGAGAATTGTGCATTTTTCTATTTTAGTTTTTTTCCCTTTTGGTTTCTCTGTAATGCACTTATTAATACTATTCTCTTCTTCCTCATTCAGTGTTTCATTTCACTCTCCAAGGTTCTTGTGCATCTCTAACAACTTGTATTCATTTGATTGGCTTTCTTCTTTTAAACCCTAAATGTTCTCCATGGATCTGTTGATTAATTTTCAGTCTTTCCTTCTATTTTTGCACTCTAAGGGACTTCATCATTACATGTGCATAGATCACAGTGATGTCTTAAGTCTGAACCTTTGATTTAAATTCTTGACCTTTGTTTCTAATTGTCTGTAAAAACCTGTTTATTTTGAGCAAAACAAAACTCCTCTTACATCTACTTTTCCAATTTTCTTATTTCTGTTAATGGTACTGCCACGCTTTCAGGGACTCCTTAGTGTGAGCAGCATCACCTTTGACTCTTACGTTCCTCCCTCATCTGCCACATCCAGTCTTTTGCCTGGTCTTGTTCATGTTACCTTGGCAATTCTATTGAATAATTCTTCCCTTTAATTTCCTTTGCTACCACTCTATGACGGCCCCTACTCTTCTCATCTGGGCTACTACAATAATCATTTAACTGATTTCCCAGGTCTTTGTCTCTGTTGCACTTAGCTTTTGCTGTGTAATAAGCTACTTCAAAACTCAGCAGCTTAAAACAGTGGCTACTTCATTTAAAATGCTCAAAATTCTGGGAGTCAGCTGGGCAGTTCTGGGGTTGCTCAGTTCATCTAGAATGGCCTCACTCACATGTCTGGCAGTTGGGCAGTCTGTTGCCTGGGTGCCTCATCTCTGTATGTAACTTTTCACCTCTAGCAAATTATCTCACTCTGATTCACATAGTAGTCTCAGAGTTCCAAGTGCAGCAAGAGACAAACTCCCAACATACAAGTGTTTTCTAAGTCTCTGTCTGCTTAGATCCCATTTGCTGCTGTTCAAGCTTGTGTTCAAGGATGGAGAAATAGAGTGAGCCTCTTACTCAAGAGAAATTGCAAGGTCACATTACAAAGGGATAGGAAGAAATTGTAGCCATTTTTTTAACACATCAAATTTCTTTTTCCATTTTATCCTAAAACTGCAACTAATATTTTTACAATTCAGCTCTGTTGGTTTTATCCCTCTGCTTAAAAAACGGCAGTGGCATCCTGTTGCCCCAAATGAAGTGTAAGAGCAATTAGCATGATCTGCCTCAATTCTTTTTTCTAGCTTTATTTTTCTCTGTTCCCCTTTCACTACTCAAATTGGACTAGTTTCTGAATTGGTCCACCTAGCCTTTAAGGACCGTGTTCATATGCCACCACCTCCATGAACCCTTCCTAGCTTTTCCTTTCTTCACTCCCAGATTTACTTCTCTCTACCCTTCAGTTGAAGTGGCTCCTCTTTCTCTGTTTTCTCATAGCTCTTTGCACCTTTCTTGTGGCAGTTGTGATTTTTTTTTAAATCTTGTTATAATTGTATATGTGAGTCACCTCCCTTCCCAGACTCAGAACTTTTTAAGGGCTAGAATCTGAGCTGGTTCGTCTTCATAGCTGCCTATGTGTAATATTTGGAACCCTGCCTTGCACATAAGCCCCCAAAATATTTGAATGAATTTTTGAATGATGAATATTTCTCAGTTATTATAATGTTAATTTTTTTAATGTCAGTTGATTTTAAATTTTTTCTTTCAGACCAGAGACTAGAGAGCAGTATCCAAATAAATTTATCCAACGAGATGACACTGAAAGATTTTACATTCTGAACACACTGTTCAACCTACCAGGTAGACTCATTCTATGTCTGTCTATACTGATGCTTTCTCTTCTTGTCATCATTATTTGTCTTTGCTCAAGGGAGATAATAAGTTTGAATTATCTCATTATAGCTTATGACTATGTATTCTTCATTTTTCAGAGACCTACCTGTTGGCCTGCCTAGTAGATTTTTTTACTAATTGTCCCAGATATACCAGGTATGTATGTACTATAATTTTCTTTTTTTCCAATTGATTTTTTAAAATTAATGTACAGGGTTTTAGAGAACTGGCCATTGTAGGTCTTTTCTGCTTTTCTGAAGTGAATTTAGTGCTAGTGAGAGATGCCACATTGCCAGCCTGAGAGATGGGACAGCGCCAGCAGCTCCATGCAGGCTCTCACCTCCCACACGGCCCCTCTCCTTGCCAGTGTGCTGCAGCCATGTTTGGAAGGGACCACTTCTGATTGGCTTCTCCTGGGAATGAAGACGGCCAGCAGAGGTGCTAATTGTGACAACTGAGTGGGAGGTTTGTGTGATGATTATCTGTCCAAGCAGAATTACACTAAAACCCCCCAACTCATTTCACAGCAGCTACCCAGGAGCCATTCAGGGATGGTAATTTAGTTTCATTCCCAGGCCCAGCAAGATTTAATTGAGGAATAAATGCCGTTTGTCCTCCCTGAAGTAAAATTTTGCTTAAGTCTTAAGTTATCCTCTCCTTTTTATATAACCACTGCCGAAAGTTCAGCAATAAATGCCAGAGTTTTCTAACTTCTTACCTCTTTAGGCCTTACCTACTTCAAGGCATTAAATTGGTGGATCACTAAGTCACTGAGCTAAGTAGAAAATAGGCAACACCTAGTACCTAGAAACAACAAAAGAAAAGTCAGGGTGGGGAGAATCTAAATTACCAATTTTTTAAGTTTTAAATGTTTCTTTGATGGGACCCTATTTCTTAAAAATGTTGAATAAAAGAATTGATATTTTTGGAAGCTGAAAGGCTCAGCTTCCATTCAGCATATTCTTCTATCACTTTGCATTTGTTTACAATCATTGTTTTCCATTGAACACTATAGTCATCTGTGTGGCTAAAAGGATTTTCATGAGGGAATTATTATTTTCTTAATTAGCCACAGCCTTTATCTATGTAATCCTGGAACCTTTGGGTCCCCTGGGCAGTGTCTGATACTCATTTTATTTACTGTCTTTTGGATTCCCTGTCATGTTCTTTTCATCTTTCCATAGCTGTGAAACAGGATTTAAAGATGGGGACCTCTTCATGTCTTACCGGAGTATGTTCCAGGATGTAAGAGACGCTGTTGACTGGGTTCATTACAAGGTACCTAAGTGTGGCTTCTTCACTTGCTCACTCTCTGCCATGTGTTTAATGGTCTGACATTAATGTGAAAGTATAAATAGAGTTGCCCCCCCTCTACTAGCTCTCTAGAATACCTTTGTTCATGTCTTTGGCTGTCCTGCTTTCAAAGGTGATGCTCATCTTTCTTCAGTGATGATGCTTGGCTTCTAGATCTTACTTCAGTTTGCATTTCCCAAACTTACTTAGAAGAGATTTTAGTGTTAAGGATGATTATGGTCCATTTGTTGTTTTGTTTTGTTCCAAATACCTCCCACTTGACTAATAACATTAATTAATATTTATTTACATTAATAGATTATAAATTGTTGCAAATAAAATAGATGCCTTTTGATTTCTAGTTTAAAATAAAAATAGATTTATATTTTAAGTACATTTTGGAGGCAGTGTTACAGCAAGCCACCTCTGCCACTTTATCCTGGCCTTCTCTGGTTTTCCATTTTGGTAAATACTTCAGAAACACATTTGGGTTGATAGTAGCCCAGTTGTTCTTATAAACTGTTAAAAATTGATTGTGTTCTTTTTTTGTATTTCCTTTTTTGTTCCACCAGGGCTCTCTTAAGGAAAAGACAGTTGAAAATCTTGAGAAGTATGTAGTCAAAGATGTAAGTAATAAAGGAGAAAATAGATCTACACGATAGTGTATTTTACCTATTACAGAAATGAATAACAAACCTATTTATAATGAATGGGCAGCGAATATATTTCTTTGGTTTGGCATAATATATGCCATGTATAATCACCAACAGTTTTCAGCCAGAGCATAGGTTTTACTAAGTTTTTTGTCTGTTTGTTGGTAGGCAAAAAGCTCCAGTCAGTAGTATTCATTTGTCCTTTTAGCTCTGATTGTAATAATAGCAGCTAGAGTGATTACTGTGTGCACCTCAGTCTGCTAAGTGATTACACCATTATTAATCTTACATGCATAACTTAATCTTCCATATAACCCTGAGTTTAGGAATTGTTACCTCTGCTTTATAGATGAAGAAACTGGAAGTAGAGGGATTAAATAACTTGCCCAAGTTCATACAGTTAATAAGTTGTAAAGTCAAAAGTCACACCTAAATGTAACTCAGGTCATAACCCCAGCACTAGATCATCTAAAGAATATATATATATATATGACTATTATTTGAATTGTCTATCAAAAAAGGATAATGAGGAAAGTTTTAAAATAGTGGAAAACCTAATAAATTTTTTTAAATCTGTAATTTAGTAACATTGTGCTAGTATTAATTTCTTAGTTTCAATAATTGTATTGTGATTACGAAAGATGTTTATATTAAGAGAAGCTGAATAAAGACTGCATGGGAACCCTCTGTATTATTTTCACAACTTTTCTAAGAGTCTGAAATTATTTCAAAATAAAAAGTAAACATATATACACACAGCCCTAAGATGAGAGACTCCTTCCTTTTCTTGGTAGTAGAATACAGTATTTCCTCAGAGTACTTATGGTTCTCAGTCTCTGTACCTCCTGCTTCCTCTCCACTTCCACCTCCACACTTGTTTCAAGAAAAAATACTGAGGGGTTCAGGAGAATTTGAATGAAGGAACCTATTTACTGTGAGAAAAGGAAAGACCATTTTTCCTCCTGGTCATATCAGAAATTAAAATTTTCGCATATAGTTGCCGATAGGTCTGGGCATTTCTAGGTTGCATCCTGCACACATTTCATTCTGGAAGGTGTCACATAAAATGAAAGAATGCACAATGAAGCTGTATCTAGTGCACTACCTGGAGTATTTTGCTGGTCATTTTTAAAATCAGCTTCTCCTGATCACTAACACACCTAATTCACATAGTTTAAGAAACTGTAACATAATTGCAACTCTTCCCTGAGGCAGGCATGAGGAAGGTAAAGATGTTTTTAATGTACTTATAATCGTGTATATGTATCACTATTTATAAATGTACATATTATATACACAATATATATGACATGTTAATGCTTAATTCATGCATAGCAAAAATGTGGTCTTTTAAATGCAAATTTGTAGTACCAACCAACCCTTAAAGGACATCCCCTATTCCTATTCCAATGGACAGAAATTCAGTATATGACTATACCACAGTGTAAATGAATATATATTTGTATCTTAGTGTTTTCTCATCATCATTATATTTCAGGGAAAACTGCCTTTGCTTTTGAGCCGGATGAAGGAAGTAGGGAAAGTATTTCTTGCCACCAACAGTGACTATAAATATACAGATGTAAGTCCTTAATGTTCATTATTTATACAGAGGAATTATTTTGGCCTAAAGAACTACAAAGAAAATGAGAAGGATGGATATTTAATAGGGTATTTTTTTGCCATTTCATTTTGAAAGCAGAGTGAAAAAAGCAAAATCCGTAGCATAAGGGCTACAGTAGAGTGGTTCTCAAATTTTTCTAAATATTTTCCCTGATTACAATTGACTACTTGAAGGTTTTGGTTTGTGGGTTGTTTAAATCATTTGTGGTGATAAAAATGGCTTCCATGTCTCTTCTTCAGATCCTTTATATAAATGAAAAGTCACACCCTTTATTGCATGTGTACATGCCCTTTTTGCCATTGGAAGCCATCAGCAATATGTTTTGACTCTTAACTATCAAAATTTACCCTGTTAAAGATTTTTTGCCATGATTAAAACATATAGAAAAGCTAGTTTAACTCCTTAACCTCATCTTACTTTTGCTAAGACAGATACAAGTTTATAGTACTAGCAAGCATCTCAGTGCTTCTGAGTCCTCTTTATGTAAAATCTTGATTTAGAAATTTGGTGATTTGGAGTAAGTAACCTTACAAAACCAGTGGTTCATTGGTTTGCTTCGTCTAGGAACAGTAATAGGCCAAGGTGTGTTATTTCCACATGAGTCATTAGTTTTCTCTATGCCCTCACTCAGATGTACCCCTTACCTCCAAATATGTGCTCCAGTCCACTAGCAGAATTGGTTAGGAATATATAGATGGATCTGTACAAAAACAGCTCCTAGGAGAACCCTGTGTCCTCTTGAGCATGTCAGCTTTTGTATGTTATGGTGAAGCATTAATTTCTGGCTTCCACTGCCATAATTTCATAAACTTTAGAGAAAACAAGATGTGATGAATCCTATATTGAAAAAGACATATCTTACAAAGAGTTTATGTGTCATTTTTAGGTGTTAATGTATCTTTTGTAGAAGTAATATATGGACCTTATGTTGGATTTTTTTTCCAGAAAATTATGACTTACCTGTTTGATTTCCCACATGGACCCAAGGTACTATATGTAACTTAGACCATTGCTTTAGTAATAATGAATGCATTTAATTATCCTGGAATATTGAGGGTAAGGAATTGGTCAGGACTTATCCATAAATCTTCATTAACATTAGAAGTAATGCGGGAGCTAGTATAATTTAAAGTCACTAGTAATTTGAAGACTTATTAGAAATAAAAGAGAGATACTTATGTGGTATTTAGTAGGATGGGATCAGAATAATTTCATGCCCAAGAAGTGCTATGCAGAGTCATTAAATTTCTGTGATAAAAGAAGGAATTTTCAGGTTGAGGAAGATACCTGATTCAGAAACAGAGAAAATGTGTATATTCTTGACAACTTCTAGATTCTGCTTTTAGCTATTGCTGAGGTTTGTGCCAGGAGAACAGTTAACCTTGATATTTAGCAGAGAAGTCCTCATTCCTGCAGTTTGGCTGCAGTTAGATTTAAGCAACACTCACTGCAACATCGTTGCACACTTGTGGGATTTTAGTCCTAGGCTTCTTTGAAAAATATCAGTAAATCCCTGTTTTGATATCGCCTGAAAGCTCTGTATGCAGTGCTCTTCAGCTTGGCCTTAAAAGTTAATGCCATGGTTCCATTTCATGATGGAAATAATGCTAATGGGCATAACTTCTACCTTAGTGCTGTGGTTAGGCTGCGATGTGAGCTCAAGGTGAGGGTGCACCTACAGCCATTATCCTGAGAACATAACCAATAACATTTGCTAATGATAGTTCTGATGCAGTTTGCCTGTTAATCTGTCTCTTGAGTACTGGTTTGTATTTCTCCTTGGCCCCTTTGTGCCTGTTTTAGTCCATTTCAGAGTGTGAGCCCACTTTCTTTCATATATTAAATTGCCAAGAAATAAAAGTAGTAGATGCAGTGACTTAAAATATAGAGATTTTACATTTTCACCCTGCCTGGTAACAAAAGGATGTAGCTTATAATAAAACACAATATGTTTTTGATAAAATAGTGGGATCTTCTGGTTCTAAACTTAGTATTTCTACATTCCTTGCATCTGAGTGAGATTGAGTAAGTATTAGTGTCTTAAGGTTAGGAATGTTTCAGTTTTTGCCCTTTCTCCTTCATCAGCCTGGGAGCTCCCATCGACCATGGCAGTCCTATTTTGACCTGATCTTGGTAGATGCACGGAAACCGCTCTTTTTTGGAGAAGGCACAGTACTGCGTCAGGTGGATACTGTAAGTCAAGAGGATGACTTGTCTGCTAGCACATAGTCCTTCATATTTGTGCTTTTCCACTCCCATTCTCTCTAAGGAAACAGGCATTTTTATTTATTATTTATTATTAATCATATCTCTCTCTTGAAATTAAGAGTTTTGGTCTTAGTAGACATAGACAAATAAATCAATGTAATACAAAAGTGCCATTCATTTGGCTGTCTAGCCAGGTAGCATTTTGGGTGGAGATTGTGATAGAATGATAAAGTATTACAAGGTCTGTATTTTCTTCTCATAGAAAACTGGCAAGTTGAAGATTGGTACCTACACAGGCCCTTTACAGTATGGCATTGTCTACTCAGGTGGTGAGTCACAGACTTCCTTATTTAGTGTAAGTCTTTGCTCAGACTTTACTGTGAAAGCTTTGGTGTCCTCCCAGCATAGCGCCACGTATATCTGTAGTCATTCTAAAGATATTGTTTCCATAAGGTAAAAACTTCAGTCATCCATTAATGCAATAGGAGTCAAAGAGAATGGCCGTAAGAAGTCGTTAGTATGTCCTAATGAATCTTTGATTTTCACTAAAAGGACCAGTTTCCCGCCATCCTTCTTTTACTTATTGGAGGCTGTTTCTGTGTCCTGGAATCATCTGGGGTGGCTCTTACAGGTTCCTCAAGGGGTTTTCCAAGAAGCTATGGACACAGATGGATATTTCACTGGAGTGAGAAACAGCTGAACAAAGCCGGCTTAACAGCAGATCTGAGATGAGGAATGACAGCTGGGCTTCTAGAGGTTATATTCACTACAACTGAGACCTGTAGTTTTGTTGCTCTTGGATTTGGTGATCGAGAGCTCTGGTCAGTACAGTGGACACGAAGGCCTTGTCTTAGAGGCAGTAAAAAGAATCACGAAGAAAGGATGATGGCGCTTGTCTTCTTTTAAGAAAGCTGAGCCCCTTTTCTAGTCTGTTATTTGCACAATTATAAGAATAAAATTAGCATAGTGCTTAATGGTTATGGTACTTGGAATGCTGGTTTTTAACCTGGGGACATCTTTGTTTTCTCACTGTTCATTCTGTTGTCTTAGGTTCATCGGATACAATCTGTGATCTGTTGGGAGCCAAGGGCAAGGACATTTTGTATATTGGAGACCACATTTTTGGAGACATTTTAAAATCAAAGAAACGGCAAGGGTGGCGAACTTTCTTGGTGATTCCTGAACTTGCACAGGAGCTGCATGTCTGGACGGATAAGAGTTGTAAGGAGTCATGACTCTTACTTTATAAATCTTTGACATAGCTAGGTTATATTTAAATGGCCAGCTGTGAATCAGTCCTCTTTGAAAAACTGTTACTTTGCATGCAGCAGAGCAGAGGTGGTTAAGACAGAATGATAATTGGATTCCTTCTTCCCATATAGCCAGATATTTTCACAGAACTCCAGAATTTGAGGAAATATGAAAGGTTATCTTGTTCAGCTGCCTTCTTGAATCCCTTCAAGGTTAAGTACAGAATGTTACTGTCCTCACGTAACAGCAGCAACTGAACTGAACTCTGTAGTCCTGTAGTGGCGCAACCATGCCTGCTAGTTCCTGCCTCCTTGCCACCAGCCCATGTCTGTGATCTGGGGGCCTTGTAGGCTCTGAGTACTAATCACGTCCTAGTGATTTTTACTTGCTCTTCTGAGAAGTAGAGCATGAGGCCAAACTGCATTCTGTGAACTGATCCACACTGTGTGCACTGAATTCAGCTGTGGCTCTCCACCTGGTCCTCGCTAGCCCCACTCAGTGTGGTGAAAGGCCCTGTCTCCCGATACAGCTGCCTTAGTAGTTACCCCGGCCCTGCCACTTAGGATCTTCATGTCCTGAGGCAGGTTACTGAGACACTGTGTGTACCTTGATTTCCTCAAATGTCAGAATGAGGATAGTAATACCTGTCTCATAAAGCTGAAGAGACTTAACCGAGATAAAGTCATATGTTTATAAGGACAGAAGTAACAACCCTTCTCAACCAAGGATTGCAAACCTCGTCATCTAGACCACAGAACAGAGAAATGATTTGAATGACTCATTTCTCCCAAAGACAGTAGATAAAGAAAATGTACTCTGTATGGTGGATATGCATGAGGGCTTCTCTTGGGAGCCCAGGTTGAGAAGGGCTAGAATACACAGAAAGCATGCAGCAGCTGCTGGAGTTTCCTGGCTAGCCGTTTGTCTACATTTTGAATTTTACACATGTGGAATTTTATAACTTTAGTTGATTTGGGTCTCTTTCCTGGACAAGTCACCTAATTCTCACTTTCATCTGAAAATGGAACTGTTAACACTTGGTTTTCTGACACATCTGAGATGGTACTTTGTAAGCTCAAAATCAGCAGCCAGTTGGAAAAGAGAATTGTAATCAGTGGTTAAAGTAGGAAGAAAGGCAGTTAAAGAGGAGTGTGGTATTCATCTGCTGCCAGATACCAAGCATCCGATACAGCTGCCTTAGTAGTTACCCCGGCCCTGCCACTTAGGATCTTCATGTCCTGAGGCAGGTTACTGAGACACTGTGTGTACCTTGATTTCCTCAAATGTCAGAATGAGGATAGTAATACCTGTCTCATAAAGCTGAAGAGACTTAACCGAGATAAAGTCATATGTTTATAAGGACAGAAGTAACAACCCTTCTCAACCAAGGATTGCAAACCTCGTCATCTAGACCACAGAACAGAGAAATGATTTGAATGACTCATTTCTCCCAAAGACAGTAGATAAAGAAAATGTACTCTGTATGGTGGATATGCATGAGGGCTTCTCTTGGGAGCCCAGGTTGAGAAGGGCTAGAATACACAGAAAGCATGCAGCAGCTGCTGGAGTTTCCTGGCTAGCCGTTTGTCTACATTTTGAATTTTACACATGTGGAATTTTATAACTTTAGTTGATTTGGGTCTCTTTCCTGGACAAGTCACCTAATTCTCACTTTCATCTGAAAATGGAACTGTTAACACTTGGTTTTCTGACACATCTGAGATGGTACTTTGTAAGCTCAAAATCAGCAGCCAGTTGGAAAAGAGAATTGTAATCAGTGGTTAAAGTAGGAAGAAAGGCAGTTAAAGAGGAGTGTGGTATTCATCTGCTGCCAGATACCAAGCAAGGTATGAGTGGGTTTTCCTGAAGGGGGAGAAGGAAGTCATTTTATACACTTGCCTGTAGCTTTACTTTTCAGTTGTATCTGCAACCTTTTAATCTAGTTTCCTCAGCAGTTAAAAACTGGATTTTTTTATTTAAAACATTTTCCTTTTCCTTCCAAACCTTAACTAGCACTTTTCGAGGAGCTTCAGAGCTTGGATATTTTCTTGGCTGAACTCTACAAGTAAGTTTACTAATTCTGAAGGTTTCTTCCCTAAAAACCATTTACCTCTTTGGGAGTTACCTAGATAGTAAGAGGTGTCCTTTCCAGAAATTTTACTGGGTTTTTCTTTTGTCTCCAGGCACCTTGACAGCAGTAGCAATGAACGCCCAGACATTAGTTCCATCCAGAGACGTATTAAGGTATCTTAAAGGAAAACAAAGTTTATGATTTTGTACAGTGACTGGCATATAGCCAGTGTTTAATAAATATTTATTGAACGAGCTGAGAGATTCAATCTTGTTCTTTGTTTTAGAAAGTAACTCATGACATGGACATGTGCTATGGGATGATGGGAAGCCTGTTCCGTAGTGGCTCCCGGCAGACCCTCTTTGCCAGCCAAGTGATGCGATATGCTGATCTCTATGCAGCGTCTTTTATCAATCTGCTGTATTACCCATTCAGCTATCTCTTCAGAGCTGCCCATGTCTTGGTGAGTTAATACAGCCTTAAAGTACTACTTATAGTAAAGATAAACTTTTAAGGCCAAGATCTACAGCCAGCTTTGTGGGATCACACAAAAGAGTTTGGATCATTTCTTTCTAATGTGCAAAAGCCCATGGGCAGGTTACATGGTTGCACAAAAAAGGAGTCCTTTAGAAGTATGATCAAGATGCAATGTTAAAAAGTGTAACTTTACTCTGAAATGAGAAATAATCTCTTCTCTGCCATCTTACTCAATTTCAAGCTATAGTAAATGATCTGGGCAATTTTGAGGGTTGGGGAGGAGAGAAGGAGATAGACAGCTTTAGGTAGTTTTAGGAAGATACTTTAGTACCTAAATTCACTTGACCTGTGGCCCATGATAGACATCCCTCTGCATGGCCACCTAACAGAGAAGGGTTAGGATTGGGGAAACAGCAAATTTGCTCAGCCTCCTTTCTGAACCTGTGCCTTCGTTGTAGATGCCTCATGAATCCACAGTGGAACACACACATGTAGATATCAATGAGATGGAGTCTCCCCTTGCCACCCGGAACCGCACGTCAGTGGATTTCAAAGATACAGACTACAAGCGGCATCAGTTGACACGGTCGATTAGTGAGATTAAACCCCCCAACCTCTTCCCACTGGCGCCCCAGGAAATCACACACTGCCATGACGAAGACGATGATGAGGAGGAGGAGGAAGAGGAAGAATAAGGAGGAAAACGAAAACTCTAAGCATCCATTAAACAAGTTCTGGCAGGACTCACAGGAGCAAAGGATGTTCCTGTTTGGGTTCCAGTTGGGGAGGGTGGTGGGGACCTCCATCAAAGGCACATCTGGAAAGTTTCTGAAGACTTTAAAATATTGTAGTCATAGGGAGACACTTATTTTAGTTCTGTGTGTCTGCCCTCTTTGCAGATGGTTCAAAATTGTAATGGAGTCTGTACTGGAAGAAAGGATAAAGCCAGGCTGAACTGCATGCTGATGGCTCCATTGTGGCTTGTGACACTGTTTTTTCTTGTCTTATTTCATCATCAGTTAATCTTAGTGTATTGGATACACACAGGGTAGTGGAGAGTCTCAGATTGGAGCAAGGAGGAGGATGGGAAGAGGTGATCCAAAAAGGCTGTTCATGTTACAAACTGTGCTCTTACTCCAAAATCTGTCTTTTTCAGTGCATTACATAGTATTGTATATCAGTGGAGAAATACATTGTTTGCATTATCAAATGTAGTCTTCTGTTAAAGTCAAGGTTCCTTTTGCAAGCCTTTTAAGACTGCTGTCTGACAGTGGCTTTGCAGAAGTGTTTCATAGAACACTTCTAGGGCTGGTCTGGAACGGATTGCACCAATTTCACTTTGAGACAAAAGTCTTCATTTCTACATTTTTTTGATTGATAGCAAAAATGCTTGTTATCCAAAAACACTGTCTTTTTCTCATCTGGGATAAGTCTATAGAAAGAATTTAGCTGAAAGAAGATAAAGGAATAAGCCCCCATCCCTTCACCAAAGAAAAGGAGCTTCCTCCTTTTCCTATGACAGCATAACTGGGGGACCTCATTAGCATAGCTCATGCCCCCTAATGCAGCCTGCTTCATCCTCTTAAGTTTATTGCCGTATTTCAAAGTTGAGCATTAGAGGACAGGAAGAGAACTTTGTAAGCCAGAACCTTACTAATCCAGGGGGCACAATCAATCAGTGTGAATACATTCACTTCAGAATCGAAATCACTTGTTTTGAACAAGTACGGATCATTACTGTTCTCTAGGGTAGTACTAACTGCCTCACCAGTACAGTGAAAGTTGTACATTTTCACAGTGGTATATACTCTTATTTTAACCTTCAGAGTTTCTTCCACTCTTACTGGCATTAGTCCACATGGGTGGGTAGATTAGCTGCTCTTGAATTTAATAAAGTATATTTCAATACAGACTTTGCCCCTTCCTATAGCACATCAGTAATGACTGTTGGTATTCAGGTAGGTTTAGGTTTGGCTTAGGGACATCAATTGGCATTCTCTTCTCTTAAAAGAAATAGAGTCTGGCATGGTTAATGGTTAAATTTGTAACAGTTAAATAGGACTCTTTTTCATAGGAATGTTTTTGGTATAGACTGAGGTGAGGTTTTTTTTTTTAATAGGTAAGGTACACAGCTCAGTAACTTAGCCATATTACCTTGCCACTTCCACTATATATGGCTTTCTAATAGTCACATCAAGAAACACACATTTGAACTAGTGTACCAGAAATATATGCTACTTCTAAGTATCAGATTAGGAATGCTATTGCAAATAGCAATTAGATACTATCCCTGTTCTAAAATTTAGAGTGTGTGTTTGTGGTCACCCCAGGTATTGTTCTCGAATTCAAGGTGGAGATGAAGCCCGGTTTCACCGTCTTAAATTTTCTCAAAGCCTAATAATTTCTAAGTGACTTACTGTAACTACAGAACTAACTTACTATAATCATACTTTATATATTTTCCTTTGTAGAGCAAGGACCAACATGACTACTTAAATTCAGCACACTTTAGTATTGTGTTATCTATGTAAGGTCTTACTACGTAAGAATTTTCTAGCCATTTCTCTCTCCTGCAGTGAGTCCAAAGACTGAGAAAAGCATGCAATTAGGATAAGTAAGGATTCCATAAGAGCCTAAGACCCAGAGCCGAGCGTTGCCTCTGAATATTGCTCCCGTTAGAAGTGTTCTGGGGAGTAAGTAGTCCATGGGTAGGCACTTAGGGCACCTGTATTTGGGCTTGTTAAAACATGAGTTTTTCTCTGCTGCCATTACTTAAGGAAGTTGAACTTAAATGTGCAATTTATTTTTTTAACCTGAGGCATTAGACTGAGAAGATGGCTCTTTGAAGATCTTCTCCCATTATAATCATACTGTACTGAGACTAACATTGAGAAAGCAAGCCCTTCAAGCTACCCTAAGGTACTTTAAGAAGTGGTTCTTAATAAGACTAGAATGACTTTGTGCTACAAGTCCTTTAGTCACATTAGTATTTTTTTTTAAGCAGCCACTTAAAAAAGCCACTTGTGACATGTCAGATTTGAAAGTGCTTTGTCCATGTTTAGTTATTTCTAAAATCAGATTTATTTACTTAAAAAATATTTTGTCAATAACCTTAAAGTCCTGCAATTTTTGCAAGGCTGCAGGAGCATTTAAAAATACCCTGTTTATTCACTGCAAATAGCTTGAGACAACAACTGCATATCTAAATCTGCTTTAATGGTAGGAGCCTTGTCCACATTCCATGTTATGGAAACTATTTAACCTTTCTTTGATGGTGGGAAAAATGGTAGCTATGATCTAGCCACACAGTTAGCGGCCTGATTCCTCACTTGGTTTAGTAGTTTATCTCATGACATTCTTTATTGGTTAACTACAGAGCAAAGAACTCTTAAAGTTTTTCCTCAAAGGGAACAATGTCAAACCATACACAACTTTGTGAGGCCCTAGAATGAAATTTCTACCTAAGTAGCCTTGAAAATAAAGGAAAAGTGGTACACTACCACCAAAGAGCTGGGAGGACATGCAAACACACGGCAACCAGGCGGCTTCTGGTGACCCACGCCATCCCATCCTGTACCTCCACTAACAGTGGAAAGGGGCTCCAACTGCTCTCACTGCTGAGTATGTAGGAACAGCAGAAAGCAAGTCATCTAAAAGAATGCAGTGGTTTACAAAATGAACAAACCAGCTTTTCTATGTAACCTGGCGATCTCAGCCATTTTTCCATCCTCTGACCCAGTGTCTTCATCCCAAGGCTACAATGATCTGACTTGTTCCAACAAAGGGATATAGTTTGAAATATATAAGTACAGTTAAGTTCCTCTGAAGAGCTTTAACACAAAACAGGACTCCCAAATGAACACATTTTGTCTCAAGCTTGCTGACTCTGGTCCTGCAAGTGTAAGTATTCTATATTTTCCAATTTAAAACAAAATGACCAGTTTTTTAGTCTGGTCTTTTTGTGTTTCTTCCCACAAAATAAGATAAATCTTTTCTCCATTGTATTACTGGAAAAAAGGTGAATCAAATTGCTTCATCAATCAAGTTAGGTACAAATACGTTCCCAGATGCTCTTCTCTCCCACTGAGCTCTTCCCAAAGCCAGTCTGGCCAGGGCTGTAGTCGAGGATGAAGCATCTGAGCCAAGATAAACCTCACCACACTGATTGGAACTCAACATGCTAAGTGCACGTTCTTCTTATGAAAGCAGGAGTCCAAGTCTCACAAGGCCCTGAGATACTTTAGAGGATTTGCCAAGCAAACCTTCCCAACACTGAAAAATGTTTATTAAATAGCCAGTCTTTTTAGAGAGAGGGTTCTCACCAGAAGTAATCTTTGCCTTGTGGGTATGGGTATTTTGAAATCAACTTCATTTTTGGACCTATACCCTCAAGTCAATGTAGCAGAATTGTGGTAGGGAAGCTTGCTCAGTCATGTCTTAGCCTACTGTTGGAGTACCTCACAGTCACTAATACCTTAACTGGAAAAGCACTTTGACAACAATTCTGGCAACTGATTTCCTCTTGCATGCTTAGGCCTTAAAACTATCTACCAGAGGAGATGGCTCACAATAATTCCCTTGTTCTGGGACTTACCGAAGAGCACAGATGTGAGGACCTTGGAAGGATAATGAATCATACGAAGAAAGGAGAAGAGTTTATAAGCCATCCAGTATAATCCAACCTTTTGGCTTATCTCTTTGTTAAACTACCTTCAAAAAGTATAAAGTTCAGAAATAAACTCCAGGCTATGGAAGGTCATTCAGTTTCTCTACAAGACTGATCACTATCTGTATCCTCAGAATTGCTGAGTTGAGAAGAGGCACTGGGAGACAATTTCTTACAGGAAATAGAAACCCCAGACCTCGTAAGGCTTAGAAATGAGCGTGGGCACCCCACTGATGCAGAGGAAAAACTTAGGTAAATCTCATCTGAGCAGGAGAAAAACCTCTATTTCCTGAGTTGAGCTCAGGGCTTATCTAGACAAAGTGAGGGAAGCAGGAAAAACTAGGCAAAGCAGCAGGGGAAATGATGTGCTGGAGAGTGTCCCTTCCCCATCCTCGCTTGCTGCTTTCTGCTTTGCTTCTAAGGAAACCAGCTAGGCTCTCAAGAAGGTAACATTTTGCTGGAATACAGATCTACTGTGTCCTACTTTCAAGAAGTTGGGAGTATTGATTGGGAAGGTGTGAGTGGTGGTCAGGTCAGACAATGTCTCAAAGCCAATCTTAGTCTTCACAGAAATGTTTCCATCCACAGGACAAGTGTAAGTAAAACAAGCCACAAACAACATAGTTAAACAAAATAACGGAAAATAAGGGACCAGAAATCAAGATGCTCAATTCTCAGAGCATGATCCTCCTTGGAATATAAAATAGAGATATAAGAGTGGAGGAGAAAAACGATTCCAAAAAGATGTGGTCTAGGAATGGCTCACAGAGGGGCTGTGGACCTCAACTGAAATGCTGCAGGGTCTGGTCCTGTAGGAGTGGGATAGGCAAGAAGGAACAGAAGACTTGAAGTGGTGATAGAAGAGGACATGGACCTCACGCTGATCAGGAATGCGATACCCACTGAATCCTGAAGAGCATCTGAACATGACTCACCACTCATGCCTGGTATTTTTAACTTAAAGGTGAACTGTCTCTGCTGCAACCTTTCTCCTCAGCTTCAAATAGCAGAGGATCTGCAGAGCCATTTTCATCTTCAAGAGCCAACTGAGAGGCTTGAATGAAGCCTTTGGTCTTGCCTAGAAAAAGACATTTGGCCAGCTGACCTGTGTACACATGACTGAGCAGCAAATGTCTGGGGGCAATTCAGTGGTAGTACATTTCCTTACTGAGAATGAACTCATGGGGCACAGACCACGATCCTTGCAGAGGAGAGCATGCCCCTGGAATTGGCTGTACCAGGCTGTAAGCTGGAGGCACAGTGTGAGCACCCACGTCTCTCTCAATGTAAGACTGTGTGGTGCATGCATGTCAAAGGAGACACCCTGCTTACTGCCATGCTGACAGTCCCAGATTTCCCACCAGTAAAGCCATGGAAGTAGGCAGGGGACCGAAGTTGGTGTTGCATAGGGGAAAGAGGGAACACACATCTGTTAGAAGGGTGAACAGAAAATCGTTTATCTAAATAGAATAGAAATGAACAAAAACCTTTTAAAACAATCACAAGATTTACAAATAAATTGGTACAAAATAAATAGGAAAGATTGCAAATCTACATCATCATTTGAATTATAAAATTCATTATGACAGCTCATGAAACTTACACATGTCATTTGTGCTTATTTAGGTTTATGTACACAGCTCTGAATACTGTGTTCAGAAAACTACTGAAAAGCATGAAATGTACACTATGATACAGTGAGTAAAGGCTAAGACAGATGAAAATCAGACACAAAGCAGGATCTTGAGGGCCAAGGCAATGTTGGCACTGGGCCTCAGAACTAAGGAAAGGCATATTAGAAGCCCAGATAGGCAGGTGGCTTCCATGATCCAGAGAGACGGATTCTGCAATCCAGGTGGGAATTAGAGGCCATCGCTATTGTGGGGCCACGCTGCTGACCTGGTTTGGGAGGGAGGGAGGCTCTGGTCTCACAGCTGTGCTATACCATTATACAGAGAATACACCCAGTAATTCACTACGAAACCACCTCTAAAGTATTTCACGGAGGTACTTGAGAGGCCCTGCCACAAAGCAGGAGACCTGCCTCCATCCTCTTCCAAACACTGGTCCCAGGGAGTAGAGGCGGGTCCAATAAAAGGGAGGGGGATGCTAGGGCCGACATAAGAGCAGCAACCTGTTTAAGACAAAAACAAAACTGCCTTCTCACCCACTTCAAGGGACAACAGAACCCTAGGCTCCATAGATAAGGGGCGCCAAAACAGATCTTGTCTTAGTCATAGACAATGTACTAACAGTAGAGGCGTATGTACATAATAAATAATATAAAATAAAGCATATACATTTGTGGACTTAAAGGACTCCAGGAACAGAATGTCAAGGGACCGATACACTCTACCTTCACAGTAGACTTCAGATGTAGGAAGTAATGACTCAGAAGCTAGGCTTGGGACTCGGAATTGACAGTCCTGGGACCTTGTTCCTCCCCAGTCCCTTCTACTCTGGGAACCTATGACCATTTGTTTATACCCAGTGAGCCTGGGCCTCCAACAAAAAGGGCAGACACCCAAGCCCCACCAAGTTCATTTGATAGTTCTCTCTGGGGTGAGGCTGAAGAGAATTCTGGCCCCAAAAGAATCAATTCCCAAGTGAATCTATTTAGTCAGATGTGAGCACATACCAGAAGATACCAAGGGAGGCAAGACAACACTCCCATTCTTCCAATTTGTTCGTGTTTAATACCCAGTATTACAGCACAAAAACGTACTCAAGTCCTTTTTATAGTATGTGTTGGATGTGTATATATAAACCTTAGCATACAAACTGCTAGAACCTTTTCATGTTGCTTCAAGTACAGCCTGGTATTTCCCATCAAAAGATACTTAAGACAATTCCAGTGAGATGATGTCAGCAACTCCAGCACATACACAAAGAGATCTAACTTGAGCTGAGCCACCGACAAAAGTCTAAGCAGCACAAAAAAAGGTCCTTGGCCCAAGGTGGTAGGAGGAAAGCTGCTCCAGGCTCTACGTTGCTATGAATTGCCATCTCCTCCTCCTGTCCTCAGGGCTGACCAGTGACTCCAGGTTCTCCCAACAGGGGAGAAGCAGACTGAAGAAAAGCCAGTGAGTAAGCACTCACTGCAGCAGAAAGCCTGCGACTGCTCGAGAATGAAGGCCACCGTCAGCCTTGAGGGACAGTGATCCCAGCAAGCTCACGGGTGCACTACGCACCTGCAAAAGGAGGCAAATGGACCTCATGTGAGAATTCTTCACTCCCTCTCCTATCGGCCTACTTGAATACAAAAAAGTATGAAACGATAAAGATCTGCAAATGGCCCTGAGGTATAAAAATCCACTGAGTAGGTTGCTCATTGATAAATTTACATTGGAAAAGTTACTGAATCCCCAAATTGCTTTCATATTGAACTCTCTAAATCCCTCCTAATTCTGAGTTAACCTACAACTCACCCAGATAACCTTGCCAGACAGAAGCACCACTAGGCGGGAGTCCAGAGTGGAACAAAGCCAGACCCAGGGCAAGAGCCTGTGTCCCCAGTTAGAAAGTGAGCACTGGTACCTCAGAAGCTTCCACACCCTAAACTGGCAGCTCAGCCTGGGAGTTTTCCTTAACATCCTGCAAGAAAAATCTTTCTGGGATCAAAGCTGAGAGGGAAGTTTTTCCCACTGCCCATGCCATCAGGGAGCTCGGGTTGGGTCATGTGCACCAAGCAAACTCTCCCTGGCAACTGCTTGCTTAGAATCCTAGGCAACAATGCAGGCGCCTTCCTGTGCCAACCCAGGTGAGCCCTATGCCTAGGACCACTGCTGGGGAACACCAGAAGCCTCTTGGTCCCCGGCCCAGGAAAGGCAAAGATGGCCACAAAGCCTTGGCTGGCTTCCAGAAGATGATAGGATTGAGTTATGGTTTTGTTTCTGACCAGCTAGGACAAAGCTCAATCAGTCAGGGCCTAGATCTGCTCCTCAACCAGAGAATTTGAGGGCAGAAGTTCATGGCCTGTGCTTAGCCCAAATTCCTACTGCTTCATTTCCTAGGGAAAACAATTCTACTTGTATCTACCACTATTTTCCTAGATTTGGAGAAGCTGGTCCTTTAGTCATATGGTACTGGGGCAGCACAGGTAAATAGATTCACAGTTAAATGTTCCATGTCAGAGTGAAGTTCTACATTCAACATTTCCACAAAAGTTCCTTGAAATAACATTTACAAAATGGCAAGATGCCCTACTACCTCCCATTTGGGGAAGTCAACCATGTCAGCATGGCCACTGAGTCCTCTTCTGGAAGTGAGGTGGGGAGGAAGGGAAGAACAGAGTTAAATGGGCTGTCCATTCAAATTCAGATTTTTCAGATTTTGTGAGAACCAAGGTTTAAGCTAGTTGATTAGCCCAAAACCCATGTACGAATCTTTGGAACCTGTTTCCCTAAGAGTTTAAATATATGATTTTGGACTTGCCTAGTGAACATGGAACAGAGAGAAAGAGACCTTGTCAAGCAGTAGGGGAAAAGCCCCTGTCATTTATAAAGAGAAAGCAGACTGTCCCGGGAACATCTGGATACTGGAGATCCAGTTCTAGGTGGAACCTTTGGGATGCCAGAGTGGTTGCTTAAGGGCAGGAGGAGGCCCTGTCTGGTCCCCCAGAGCTGGGCTCACTGAAGCAGCCTCAGAGGCCACTCTGAGGACAGTGAGGCTCTGAGTCTGACAATGGGGGTTCCTGCAGAATTCAGGACCCCAGGACCTACATCTGCCCCACAGCCGACTCCCCCACTCGCTTGCAAAGCAGAGAGGACAGTCCACCTATAGTGCTAAGAATTGGCTAATGCACATCAATATCTCGGCTATTTCATGGTCTTTCTCTGCCTGACTTCCATTTACTTTATAGACATAAACTGTAGCCAAAATCATTCTGCTGCTGCCCCAGAGAAGCAGTAAGCCGGCATTTCTCCTTCAACAGCCTGAAGTTTAGTTTCCAGCGGGAAAGTGTGGCCTGGAAGGAGAATCTGATTGTTCAGAGGTTGAAGGTTATTTGAAGTCTTGAGCTTCCCTGACAGATGTAACTACAGCCAAATTTAGCCCTCATTCCTTCAGGGACCAGACGTTATTTTTGGATTCCCTGTTGTTATAAAATAGTATGACTAACCAAAGGTAAAGAATGACTTGTAGAAAATAAATACAAACTTGGGAGGCTAGAATTTCATCTTCTTCGAGCCCCACCACAAAGCCAGCCTGCCAGCATCTTTAGAAAAAGGACTTTTCAAAAAGCCACCACACTGAATAGGTTAAGTATTGAGCAGTTAACTGTTTCTCCCTGAAGCCAAGGAGCCAGGAGCTGAACACTCTCTCCACTCCCACAGAGCTTTAGGATTCATAAAGGACGGTGGTGCTGTGAAAAAGATCCAACACACTAACTCTCATTGCAGAGGCTCCTGCCAGTAGCAGGGCACAGGGGGAGGACTGTATGTGGAGAAGAGGTCAGCTGGAAAGGCCGACAGGGCCAAGGTCCCGCAGGCCAGAGCAGCCACAGCTTGGCAGGCCAGGCTCCACCAGGGAAGGCAAGTGCCATCGGGCCATGGTGGTTGGGGGAGAAGCCTCTCCCCCTGCAAGGCCCAGGGATTCACTCTGTTATGGGGCACACCCTCCACACAGTCCTAGTTCCCATCACACAGGGGTTGTGCCCAGGTAGATGCATCTTAAGAAAAAGACCTTTTAACTTGAATGGATCTGTTAAATAAAAGGGAATACTCACAGTGCAGGGTCCCACTAACACCATGCACCACAGTGGGGGGCTTCAACCCATGGCAGCAGGCCCCTCAGCCCCCTTAGGGGGCACCCCTGTGACCATCTACCAGGTGAGGCCAGGACTTCCCTCACTGAGGGGTATGGCACCTTCAGAGGAAGACACTCCAGGACCGACGACCCAGAGGAAATACTGTGCTGAGCACGCAGGTGACACCAGAGCCTTCAGACTGCTCCCTGGGGGCAAGGCCAGACTGCTGCTGTTACTCCCCAGCTACAGCACCCAGCCTGGCATGCACTGTACTACCTTGATGAGGGAGAAGAAAGCCGTGGTTTGGCCCAAGGCTTCCCTTCATTCAGTGAGACCCAATAGAGAGAATATCTTCTTGGCTAGTGGCAGGTTGCAACGTGGACCAACAATTCTATATGAAAACTGCGGTATGAATTCATTTCAGGGTACAAATGTTGCTAACAGAATGCACAGACCCCTTGGGCTGACACTTAGCACACAGATAAGATAGTTAAGAGTTCACTCACTCAAGAAATACCTCCTGACATTAATTTCACTACATGTGATGAAACTGGTATTAAAATAAGACAGACACACATTAAATGGCCACAACACACATTTGGTTTCTGAATCCCTGTTTGGGGCCAAGCTGACCCTGGCTGTACAGGCAGCCTCTGGCTTGAGCCGCATCTGAGGCGGGAGGCAGAGGTCCTCGAGTGGGGATACAGCCACTGCTGGGTCTCACAGACCCAAGGACAGGAGAAGAGGGACAGAACTGGCCCCCTGGAAGAAGAGGCAGGGGCTGCCAGTCCCAGAGTTACCTCCTTCAAACACATGGGTCTAGACATGCCTTCTTGGTGGAGCACAGAGCACAGCTGGAAGGACTGGCTCCTCTGACAGCTACTTATGGCTCGGTGGGCAGGGGAGGGGCCTGACCTCCACACCACGTGTTTACTCAAAAGCCCTGTGGAAGATTTCCATTTGGCATTTGTGTAGCAGCATCTTGGGTTAACAAGAACAAGGATGGGGAGGTGGGTGACAGCGCTCCGTAAGCTGGGGCGCTGGGGCAGGGGAGAGGCCTGGCTGCACCAGAGTCCCAGGCTGAAGGAATGTCGGGATGAAGTCACCTTGCCTCTTGCCAATGATAAACCAGGGGTTTAAAAGTCATTAACATTCATCTTGGTGATAAGAATTCCTTAGTGTGGGAGAAAAATCACATTCCAAGCAAATGTTAAACCTGTCTGAGGGAAAGGGACACGGCTAAACATTAACTTAAAACAATGAGCTCAGAGAGGCAACTGCAGGTCCCTGTGCAGGCTCCACCCCGCAGTGCCCACAGACTCGCAGGTCTGCGTCAGCCGGCTTGCTTCATTCATCCTTCAAGTTCAACAGTGACACCCCCTGGGGCACAGAGGAAGGGGGCCCCCCGGGGAAGGTCACTGGAGGGGCAAATCCAGCCTATTAGGGTCACATCAGGGGGGCACAGCAGAGTTCAGACAGGACAACTTAAAACTCTGCTGTTTTAAGACTGTTTTAAAAGACACTTTTCGAAAACATTATCTCTTGAAAAAAAATAAATTGCAACAATTTTCAACTTCATGCAAATCAAGGGAGGAGGAGCATGAGTAATGCTAAAAGGTACAACTGAAAAAATAAACATGATTCTATTAGGGCAGAAGTTTGCCTCCAGAATCTCAAGTGCCACACCCTAGCTGTCGATTCCCTATCTCCAGTCTCCATTCCTACCCTCACTGTCCTTCTCTGCTGTTTCCAGGAAGGGGACAAAGTCTTTGGTCTCAGGATGTTGCAGGATGCAGCGTGGCACACAAGCTCACACTAATGGGATTCACGGTCAGATGGAGGCCAAGGCTGAGCACAGCCTGGCCCGGGGTCTCGGGAGTGGCCGGGGTGAGGGCCGACGGGGGGCCACCCTAGATGGCGCCTTCGTTGTGCAGGCTGTGATTGGCCTTGTTGTGAGTCACACAGTTCTGTTCATTGAGCAGGTTGGCCGTCTCATCTGGCAAACCGTCGTGCAGGTCCGTAAGAGTCAATTCAATTTTAGTGTTTTCACTGTCTGAAGACTGAGGAGTTTTGTCCATCCGGGATGCCATCAAGGCATTTTGGTATTGCTGTCTTGAGATCTGGGGCCAGAAGATGGTACAGAAGACAAACCAAGATCATGCTTATTTTCTTAGGTTTTCTTGTCTCGACATCATATTACACATTAGATGCCCCGAAAAGCCCCTAGGAGTTTCTCTAGGAGAAAATTATCCTCAAGGACAAACTGAGCCACTTTTCAAAGTTCCAGTTGACTCTGGTGAACAAGTCAGTTTTACTGATAGAAGCCATCTCCAAATTTTGTCTCAAAATTTCAGAGAGATTAAAAAATGGAGACAGGCTTCCAATGGCTTAAGCTGGCTTGTTCTCCAAAAAACATCTTTATTCTAGACTAAGAAAAGAAACCTATCTCCAGGGCAGAAGATAAGCAGAGGGTCCTTCCCACCCCATCCTGACAAGTCTTCTCACTCTCCGACCTCAGCCCTTTGGTGCCAACTGGAGTCACTAGAGCTGTGAGCTCGTGAGCACGCATCGAAAAAGGTTTACTCTTTTTCTCACCATCTCCAGCTCTCATTCCCTGAAAAAGCCACATGTGATTTGGCAATTCATTTGATAGAGCCACAGAGATAAATGAGTCGTGGGCACAGCATCTGGAGGCAGGGCCCGCCCAAAATAACTCAGGGCAGGCCCAGCGGCAGGGCTGCAGAGCCGAACCACTTGCTGTGCAAGTTGGCCGCCAACTGCCGGGTCCAGCCAAGCCCCTCTCTTCTCTCACCTTAACGAACTGAAGATCAGAAAGGGCTCGCACTGAGTAATCGGGGATGTAGACTTGGAGGAATGAAGAGCTGAGCTGATTACTGCTGCTCCCCAGCGTCGGTGTTACTGCATCAATCCGGTCACTTCGACTGAGAGAGTCTGAATGATTCAAGCCACATGGGCGTGGAGGGGACTTGTTTTCACCTGGAAAAGGAGAGAAAAGCCCAACAACATTTTAAGTGAGGTAGATACAACCAATAAAAGCTTTCTTTATTTTCCATATAATAAAAAAGTAATAACATACAAGCTCCATATACCAGCTGTAGGCCTGAACTGTCAGAGTGCCCTGCGACACACTCAGTGGCTTCCCGTCAGCAGCGAGTTCCCCTGAGTTCAGCTGCTGTGGCCTCGTTCACATGAACACAGTCCTTCCCAAGTCTCCAATAACAAAGCTCTGCAGCTGCTCCCTGATGTCAGGAGCACCACCAGGCACTAAGAAATGCACAGGCCAAAGGGGCACGAGGCCCACAGCACAGAAGCTACATGACACAAAACCTGGGCCGTGAGAAGGCAGCACTTCGTTACTTTACCAGAAGCAAAAGCAAAGGACTCCAGAATGTTCGTAAATCAGTACGTGTTTTAAAGGGATTGAAATAGTTCTGTCTGCTCGAACCATACCCCCAGCCAAACCTATTATCTTTGTCTCTGATGCCATAAAATCTCCATCAGGCAGCCCAAGGACATCTCAGGACTTCAGGGGCTCTAGAACCACACAACAAACCCTTAAAGGCCTGAGGAAGTCACCTTGGGTGCTACTACGGGCTTCTTCAGGGACCTGGGGAGTACTCTCTCATTAAAACAAAGCGAAAGGAAATTCAGTTAAGTCCATCTGTTGTTGCTCCTAAAGGTAAATTCACAGTAGCTTCTAATATAAATTAAAAAGACAACCTACCCTCTCACCAGTGGTTCCTCCATACTTGCTTTTACAGTCAAAACTATTCTACAAATATTAACTGGGCGCCCACATCGGACAGGTCCTAACTTGATTATGTCAAGGTCTAGGGAGGATCAATTCTCCCAGCTGACAGGTGGCTCCTCTTTGCAATGTGACCCTGACAGATACTCCCACCGAAGAGCTGCCCTCACTAGACCTGCCCTTTAAACTGGAAAGTCTGTTATGGTGCCCACCAAAATCTGCCTTCCCAACTTCAGATACCTGTCTCCCCCGAGCTCTATTCTCCTGGGCGACCGGCATTCCTCTGCCACTTGAAACAGCCCTTATAAGTTTGAAGAGAGTTTTGTTCTCAAGTTTCTTCTTCTCCAGGCTAACACTTCAGCCATTCTTCACCTCCCGTTTTACCAGCCCTCACCCATCCTGACCACCATCCCATTAGGTAAATGTCCCTCTTAAAATTTGACACCCAGAACAAAACATGATGGGTACTTGGGGAACCCCAAATGATGAGTTCACTCTCTCCTAAAATTTTCATGTCAGTTGCCAATTTTCCATTGTTAGTCAAAATTAAACTCAGAGAAACCATCCTCTTGTTGCTTCTACTTTTTCTAAGAAAACAAGGCAAATTAATAATTTATCGGGTGTTTTCTTTTAGCAGAATGGAACTTTGATCAGATGATCCAACTTTTCTAAGCATCAGAGTCCTAATCTATAAAAGGTAGAAAATAGTAGTACCCATCCTTCATTAGGCTTGAAGAGGATTCAAAATGAGGTAATACATAAGGTACTTATTAGCATGGCATCTGACACCGATAAATACCTGATAAATGAGCCGGTTAACATCGCTATATTCTTTCTTGTCAGCTTCACCCCAACCTCTTCACCATGCGCCCCCTCCATATTTGTGATGACTTCACCCAGGCTGACAGATGAAACAGTTCTTTGGAACAAGGGGATCCCACTGTATCCCTGGGCTTTAGCCCCAAATCATATCTCCATTTCTAAAAATACCTTCCAAATAGTGTTTACAGTTTATAAAAACAAAATATTTAAAGGGCACTTTGCTTATCGATCAGCCTCTGTGCATTGGCAGCTAGATGTTGGAGGCCTTAAGTAGAATTTCTGAGTTTCTTGATATTTCCTCCTGAGAAGGATTACAGTACAATTTCTCTGGTCTCCTAAGGTGCCCAGACTCATAGTCAGCTTCCTCCCAACCCACTGCCATCTGTTTTTGTGAGATGGGCCCTCTCCTGTGCCAGGAACACCCTGCCTGGTGTCACAGCCACTTTTTGGAAGCAGACCCTGTTCTCCAGGACGCCTCCTGCAGCTCGCCAGGGACCCGGCACACCTGGCCTTTCATCCACATGCAGTGAGGTGAGTGAGTATTCACACCAGGAGAGCAAAGACTGAGTGGCTGCTCCCACCTCCTCCCAGTTCCCGTCATGGTTTTTTGCCTAGGTGTATGTGCCTAAGTTTTATGACAGTAACTATGAAAAAAACTTGTGCCTCTCAAAATTGTTTCTTTCTGTTTTTTGTCTTGGCCTGTTTTATTCATCCTCCTTCAGAATCCTTTCTTTTTGCTAGTAAGCTAGAGAGATACAAGAAAGAAACTGTTCCAGCCTCTCCTTTGGAACAAGGCATCTTTTGGAAGAGGCTGGAAATCACAGGTTTAGTTCAATCCCCACTTACTACATATCATAATTATTGTAATGCCAGCATCCCCATGGTCTGGACCCACAAAATTCTTTTTTCTATTGCTGGACCAGGTGGAGTGGGCAGAGCTAAGAAATTCTAAGTTCTGTGGAAAAAGCAAAATACAAATGACATATCCATGAGCTTTGTCCAAAAGTCACTTCACTTCAGTACCTGTGATATTTTAAATAGATAGCAGATGCTAGCAAATAATGTGGGGAGAAATGCAAACCTATGCCCATGTACGTGTAAATAAATATTTATGTGTGTATATGTATGTGTATACATGCATGTGCATGTATGTATATTCTGCCTGCTGGTCTGATTCATATAGCTCTGTAAATAACATTTTATCCCCAAACACCCCAAACATTTTAAGAGCAAAGATTTGAGGGAAGATTAACTTCTTTCGAAGTATTTCTTCCTTTATCAAATACCAGCTTTTTAGAGTTTTGCTAAAACTGGATTATGAAGCACAAATTTCATTAGATTTAAAAATATAAGCTGCATGGAACTAAATAAATACAGAAAAGTTGTATTACCAAATAGGAGAGCCCTAAATTTTAATTAAAGAAAGATTAAACCTTTGCCTTTCTTTTTAGCAGCTGGACATACTGGCCAGGCGTGACCAGACTCTCCTGCAGGGCAACAACCAGTGGCTGGTTAGGAATGTGCACAGGGTTAATTTCAAAACAAAGAGGAGGCAACAGGCTAGGCAGGGCCACCTGACAGGGGGCAGAAATACGTGCACCCCATTTACATGGATGCTGGAAAAAGAACTGAAGAAACAGGAACATTGTGGGCCTCTGTGGGTGGGGTGCTTCTGTTCACTAAGAAAAGGTCACAGTCCTGAGGCTTGTGGCTGAATGTGTGTTGTGGAAGTATCCTTGAGTTTTGAGCCCCTGAGGGCCCCTGCAAACTCCACACACCAGGACTTGGCTGAGGTCAGAGAAAGAACAAAAAGCGCACCCTTTTGCTGCTCTGAAAAATCTCAGGTGGGCAGGCAGGAGACCTGAGGATCCATGTCAATCATTTCCCCATTTCCATTTCTCATCACTGTTCCCGTTCCAAGACTCACAGCCTTTTCCCACTGGCTGTGGGCTTATGCTTTCCTGGGTAACTCACCATGAAGTCATAGAAACGTGGGATTTTAGAACTCAAAGAAAAACTGAAAACGGCTTTGACCACATCAAGGGGACAGTCCTGTGGCAGCTAGTCAAGGGAAGCAACGAGAAGAATTATGAAAAGGAAACATGCAGAATTACCTGGAGAACCTGCTGCTAACAACTCTGTTCTGCTGACAACAAAGGTACGAGACAGGGACAAAGGAACTGAAAATGGAGAAAAACAGCATGAGACCGTATCAAAAGGCGAGAAAGGAGATCTCTGTAATCAAGGGACAGGAGTGGATAAATACGTCTTCTACCAATACAAGTATTCAATTCCAGAAATGCAAAAGCCTGTGACCTTATGCAAACAACAGGACAAACACTCCTTTGCAGGCAGAAGACTACAGGGAGGCTGAATCAGGAGAAATCCTGTTCAGATGCTTTTCTAACCCAGAAATCCTTTTGGCCATTAATATCCAATTGGGGTTTAAAGCTGCAAATGTGCTCTTCCTAAGGACACTTAGGTGGTAACCAGCCACACAAAAAGGGAGCTCGACTCAACCGCCGCAAGAGCGCGAGCCAAGGACCCCGTAACTCATGCGCCACATGGCTTCCGGTGCTTCTGAGGCAGGCAATTCTTCAATCATTTACATTCTTAATCAGTCTGACTGTCATTCTGACCCGATGCTCTGAATTGTTTTTGGAATACTCTGAAATTTCAAAGTATTAGAGGACAGAAAGTAAAGAATGAGACAACAGATTTCCTGGGAGTGGGAGACCAAAGCCGTCCTCACCGCTGCTAGGTACTCAGACAGGGAGCTGCGGCTCCGTCTGCTGGAGAAGGCCAGTCAGCACTGCCCTCCTGTGCGGGAGTCAGATTTTCTGGAAAGGGTTTCTTTTTTTTTTTAATTGAAGTATAAGTGATATACAATTGGGTAAGTCCTGATAACTGATTACTGTAGGATTTTTCTAGGCAATCAACATTAAGAAATACAAGTATTATATTGAGGTTATTTTACTAAATGTATCTCTCAATGAATACACAAAGTCCCAAATCCTAGTTGTAAAGTAGAATATTTTGCTTTGTAATGAATAATATGTTATTAATGAAATTCCCTTCCTTCCCAGCATTTCCAAACCAGGTAAAGCCATTGCAGCCCCACAGGTGTTGTATATGGAAGGTCCACTCTTCAATTCCTTTGCAGAATGGGGCTTACCCTTATATGAGTCCATAATTCAATATGAACTGGCTATTATCCAGGTTTTAGTAATCAATAAAAATGTACACCTTACTTTTCTAGCTTTCTTTTCAAAGCCACCTTATGATTCTGATTCCACTAACCTGGGCTAATGTGATATTGGTTGCCAAACAGAAGTCACAATCTCCACACCTGTTACACCAACATTTCCTCTTGTGCTTTAAAGGTTACAAAGCACCTGTGTAAGTGCCATCACGTTCTATTCTTCTAACAAGAGCGTGTATATTCTTTTAATAATGAGGAAGCCAAGGGGCTTTCTCAAAGTCAGGCATCCCCGGGCCTAGTTAAGAATCTCCCTCCCTGTCTCTGCACTAGCAGTGGGAACAGAAGATCACCTCCAAGTTTACAGCAGACGCCTACTAATTAAGTGGGCTTGGAGAGACCCCGTGTTCACTCTGGGTGTTAGCTGGGTGACTCAAAGTTCCACACCAGGATAGTGAAGATGCATCTGGGGCAGGGAGGTTTAGAAATGTGAGAGAATCCTCGATTTCCCTGGTTTCCAACTGTAACATCTTTGGGTGCCTAAGACATAGTGCAGCGCCATACATGAGGCCCAATGTCACAAGAACAGACTGTCTGAGACAGGTTTTGGGATGGGCTATTTTTAAGTTTGAGGTTTATAAAAGTCGTTCCCTAGCACAGCATATTATTTGGTATTGTTGCCACAAGATGGCACTCCAGCACCTCTGTTTACCTGCCTGCCCTGTTCCAGCCAAGACAGCAAGCAAAGCAAAGAGGGACCATTCAAGTCCCATCCCAGAGGTCAGCCAGGGATCTGTGTCCACGTTCCTACAAGCAAGGACAGACACCACTTGATGGCATCTTGTGCTCAGAGCACTCAGCCAATACCCCATGGCACACCCACCCTTAGCTGGCCGACTCAACTGGCCAGCACTCTAGGTAAGAAGAGCTGCCTATAGGCAATAAATATATATATTGACAACCGCATGCATACTTGGGAGAATGCAAATTTAAAGGCCTCCAGAATAGTTGGCATTTAAAAGATTCAACAACATCAAATGGTGAATGTGGAGTAACTAACTGAGGCTCTCCGTCAGCACAGGTAGGAGTGTGTGAACTGCAATAGCCACTGGAAAACTCTTGAGCAGTAGCCACGACAGCTGAAGGCATCATATACCCTAAGGACCCCATAAATCCATCCCAAAAGGAATGTACACGTGTTCGCTGAAAGACACATACAAGTGTTCGCAGCCACACCATTCACAGTTGGTCCCAAACGGCATCCCAGGGTCCATCAGCAATGAAAAGATAAATGCATTGCTGTATATTCACACAGTGAAATAGAACACAGCAATAAGAAGGAGATGCACACACAACACAGATGAATGTAACAAGGAGAAGCCGGACTCAGTGTAACACATCCTGTGTGACCCATTTACGTAAAGGTCAAAGACAGGCAAAATTAGTCTACACGTAGAAGTCCTGACAGCAGTTACTTTTGGGGGATAGTGACCGAAAGGGAGTGTGGTGGCAGGGGTTCTGGGATGGTTTGTGATGTTCCAGCTCTTGATCTGGGTACTAGTTTGCATTGGAGTGCTCAGTTTGTGAAAATTCATGGAGGCATATATACTTATGATTTGTGCAGGGTTTTTTGCATACATACTTCAATAAAAAGTTCAGGAAGTAAATAAATAGGGTTAGCTGGTTACAGAAAGAAAGATGATAGTAAAAGGGCATTATTTCCTAAAACATAGCCCTGCCCTAAGAGGCTGAGAAGGAAACTCACCTGGAGAGGCTGTAAGGGCCATTACACCATAGTAAGAAAAAGCACTGGCTTCAAACTTCATACCTTCTTTCCCAGCTTCTACTTCCACTTTCCCCTATGAATAGACAAGGGGAGCATTTTCAGTCCAGTTACATGAACCTATTTGTAAACTCTGTGCAAGATCCGGTCCTCCCACACATATTTGTCTAAATTCCTTTCCCAACAATCCCCAGGAAGCAAAGCTTCAGATAATCTATCTCACTTAGAAGAAAGAGTTAATTCATCTTAAATACAAAAATTGGATTTGGCTGGAGAGGCAGAGATGACAGAGCTGTGATGTAAAATTCTGGCGAGTCTGCTCAGTATTTTCCCAGCTACTTTAGTTACAATTCCTCAGCCCTCCTAGTCAGAAAATGATGGTGCTCTTGCTCCACCAGTGGGACCAACACTGAGAAGATGCTCAGTGGTGGTCACCCTGGCTGTCCTTCAGGCGTCTTGAGTTGGAGCAGAGTCGGGGCAAATGTGGCTTGTAGCCATGGAATAGAGAGGGCTCAGCAGGCTCCCAGGGGCACAGCCGACTCTGGTCTTGCTAGCACGGCATCCTGACCATGCAGCAGACAGTGCCCCGGACCCTCCAGGGGCAATGTGACACCGTGGTGCTTTCTCCTCTCTTGGAAAAGCACCTTAAGAAATCTCCTTCTATCCAATGAAACCTTTCCTAAGGTTTTCCCTTTTCTCCCCTCTTCTAACTTGTCTACAACTTTTCCTTCACTCAGCACCTCCTCTGGGACAGACAGATTCTGCCTTGTTCATTCTGCCGCCTTCAGGTCCACTATAATCCCTTCATGGCGGGTGCTCAGTCTAGTTTTCTGGGCCACCGAAATGCCCTAGTAAGTGAGCTCACGTCTAGATTTCCAAGCCAAGGGTTAGAACAGCTCTTGTCCATACCACCTGTAACTGCTTCTCCAATGAGAGGGCACCTTTCTGGTGCAGCCTTTACAATGGGTCAACAAAAATTAAACTCCCATTTATTGAAGAGGAAATGTGCTAACAATTCATAAGGTTTTATTCATTAGCGCTCAGAAATCTATGAAGCAGACACAACCATCCCCCTTGTGTACATCAGGAGAGTGGAGCTCAGAAAGACTAAGTAACCCAAGAACAAGCTCTTAAGCAATACGCTACACTATGCCACCCACTGACACAGACTATTATTTGATCATTCCCTATTATTCTGTACTAAATTCCCAATTATGGAAGACCTTCCTCAAATCATTTCCTCAGAGAACTGTACTATTGGTTGTCTCTCTTAGGTTTTCATTCACTCAATGGAAAGACAAGTTTTATCAATTCCTAACCAATTCTCTTGTTCTAAGAAAGGAACTGAAAACTCCATCTATAATATAAAGTTAACCTGCGAACAAGTCGGTGCTGAGAAGCCTGAACACACAGGGTCCTAGATGCTGTGGAGCCTTGTGAGAGGCCAGTTCTTGTCCTCCAAGAGCTTACAGTCCCATAGGCAGCATGGGAAAATCAGTGATACAAGGCAGTAAAGCCAAGTCCTACTCCAAGAAAAGGCCAAAAAGAATAAGGAATTCAGAGAAAAAACGTACTTCCTGTTCTTGTATAAACACAAAGTTTATACAGAAGGAAAATCTAAGGGGAAGTAGAACTTTTTTGAGCCAAGAGGAGGGAACAGTGTGAAGGGAGGTCAGAGGTGGGTGACAGCAGATGGCAGGCTTCCCTCTGTCGGGAAGAAGCTGAGACAGGTTTGCAAGAGCCCTCGGGCGAGCAGGTCAGAGTAGGACATCCGTGAAGCCCCGCTAATGAGCCAGGTTCTGGGCAGAGGGCACAGCTTCAGGAAGACGACGTCTGGACATACCGCAGAACGGGAACGACGGGACTGGGGGAAGACTGCTTGAGAGAAGCCACAGATAAGGAATCCACGTAATTTGGTGAAACCATTAAGGAGAAAGAAGTGTAAGGGAGGGGGCGGGGGAGTCCATGAGCCCACGAGACGTTCACTGAGTGACTTGGAAAACGGGGACACTGTGAGTAGAGAGGGCAAGTCGGGAAGGGCTGCATGAGGGCTGGAGGCCAGAAGGAAAGGACAAATCCCCTTTAAGAACAAAGCTTTTTAAGAGTCCATCAGAAAGGCTGAAATGGAAGAACGAAGGTCAGGAGAAAGGTCAGAACTGGAGGTGGGGGATCTGACAGCAGGTTAGAGGAAGTGAGTGGAGAGAGAAGAGACCAAAGGTGCCCAGGAGCAGGAGGAACGGAAACCAGCATGGGGCCCGGGCAGAGAGAGGGAGAACCGGACCTCTGAGGCTGCACAGGAATGGGGAGGGGAGGAGCCTCACGAGGGGGCCAGTCGGCCTCCAGGCGCTTTTCCTGGAGAAGCCGGGACTGGGGGAGGCAGCGCAGGCCGGAGCTGGCACGAGTAGCAGGTGGACAAGGAGAGAACCGCTTTGGGGCGAGGGGGGCAGCCGTTTGGGCCAAATGAAGGCTGCTCAGGATTAGGGAGTCCGAGGCACACACGCACGCAGCAGCAGAGGAGGGTTAGTTAGGGTGGAGGCAGAAGAGGTGGTAATTAAACGAGCAAAAGCCACAGCTGGCAGGGAACAACGGGATTGAAAGCAAAGTGACTGACCTCAGAGGAGGCAGGCTCCTTGAGAAGAGGGGGAAGCGAGGCCGGCTAGGGACACAAGAGATGGTGACCAATATAAATGTTAGTGCCTGATGGCCCTATCTTCTCAATTACTTCACCATTTCTTCGCGGACTAACCTTGATTATGTGTATCAGATGGTTAATATGCAGAAATATGCTACCTGAAATGTCTGTCTCTGTGGCTGTAAGCTCCGAAGTGGCAGCAGGACCATTTCTGTACTCTGAAATTCTAGGCAGAAAATCCGGAGGAGGTTCGAATGCAACTGAGCCTCCTAAGGACTTCCACCTTTACAGATCCCCAGTTGATCTGGATCATTTGTTTTAGAAGGGCCTTTTGTGTTCTGTGTCCTTGCAAATGGGAGTCAGGTCACAGTTCTTTTGTGATCAACTGTCAGAACCAGCAGGGCAATAGTCACTCCCCAAAAAAGACTTCAAATAACAATAGCCGGTCTGTCTCTTGGAAAGGAGCTGTTTGTTCCTCGGGCAGTACTCCTGACCCCCTGCTCAGAACCTCTGTCTAGTAAACTCAAAAGCAGAGATCCCAAACCCTTGCTGTGCACCAGAAACATCAGGGATTTAAAAAAAATACTGATGGCCGGCTACCACTCCCACGCATTCTGATTTAACGAGTGTGGGATGCAACCCCAGCATTAAGATTTTAATAAAGCTCTCTGGATGATTCAAGCACGCAGGGAAGTTTAGGAATCATTGCTTTAAGGCTCTATTTGCTTTAAGACAGCTCCAGCTCTGGAACCTCTGTGTATGCTGGCCTCTCAAGAAACTTCCCCAAAGTCCCAGCAGCCGTGAGTCTGCTACTTCAACAGGACAGCTGCATGGATCCAAAGCTCTAGATTGTAGCCATCTCAGCCCAGCTCTCCTCTCCTTCAAGACAGGCCTGCAGGCAGGTGAATGCTATCTTCCTTCTAAAGTCCACCTAGACTAGATCCATCAGGCTGGAAGGCAGATAGGCTGGGTCAATGGTTCCTGAAAGGTCTGGATTCCAAGAACTAGTAAAATGCACCTCCATCCTCAGAGACAGAGAGAGAGGTGCTAAATTTTTATTTGATAAAATATGTATTTTAAAACATACCAATCTACTGTTACCATCATTTAATGAAAAGACCAGACCCCCAAAACATAGAAAATATATAATTTCAGAATAATAGGTCTTAGAACACATACAGCTTCACGAAAAACTCACTGCAACTGTCTTTATTTTTCTCATTCTGCCTCCAACTGGTGAAAATTTTGTCAAGTACTAGCATTTATGAACCACTGCACTAGACTAATTCTACTTCATTTATAAAACCGCAGTAGATTGGAGGAACCCTGCAGTTCTTTCAGCTTTAACATTCTAAGTTTCTGTGAGTCCAAAAGTTTTAAAAACTGCTCATCTCTTCATCCTTCTCTATGAAGAGAAGCTTTTTTGGTAGGCAAGTTCTGGAAACATCCAGTAAATACCTTTTTTATTCATACATGGGTATTAGTGGCTCCAACTGATTATCATTTTCAAATAAACTTGTCAGTATGCAAAGTAGGGCCACAACTACAGGGAAATGGCTGACCTGATACAAAATCAGTCAGGTGTCTTCTTAGATAATGACTTTTTCCATTAAAGGAAGGAGCTACATACTAATTTTACTTGTGAATGTTCACAAATTTACTGTTCTCTAGCCTATCACCAAAAATATCAAGACAAGGCATGATGGCCTCCCAGAGGGAACTGGGGCTTCCTGCTTGTAAGCTGACTGAAGAGGAGAGGCCTTACCATCCCAAGCAAAGCTGGCTTCCCAAGCAAAGTTCCCATCACAGAATCCTACCTTTCTTCGGAAGAAGGTATTGGGTAACTCTTCTCAAAGTTTCTAAGCATCCACACAGTATTGAACAGTCTCAGGCTATACCTGGCCTTGGTATTTTTCAATCTGGAGCCTGCAGATGTAGTTGGGGGACTCTCAAGTTTGCTTCATTAGTGTTTAATTTTTAAAAAACATTTTGATAGTAAAAACTTAATTTAAACATATTTGGATTATCTTCTAACAAAGTGCTGCCACCAGATGTCAGTGCCAGCATTTGCCTTAGCATCTGCAGCACTACGGACATACTCACTGCTTGAATCATCATGGCTAAGCTTGCTCCTCAATCAACTGGGAGGGGGCTAGAAATGAAGCATTTCAGCCTCCACCCCAGACCTACCAAATCCCCCAGGGATTCCTATGCACACTCAAGTGTGAGAAGCAGATGAAGAAAGGAAAAGAGGAGGCTAAACTCTAAGTAATCCAGTCACACCTGGTGGAGGTCCATAATAACACAACAGACTACATAAACATTTCAAGAAGCTCAGCTGAACAAAAGGCTTGGGTGGGGGGGGTCAGTCACCTGGGCCCATGGAGGCCAAGTGGGCTAAAAACCAAGCAGCCTGTCCTAAAATTAGACCTAAAAATTCATAATTGAAAAAAAACTGTTTTAAAATTGTTTAAAACTCCCTGACACGGTACTGGGCCCAGGGGCACCTTCCTATCAGCCAACGATCTCATCTACACATTGAGAATTTAACATTAATTACAAATTCGTTTTGGTTTATAGTTGTATATAAGAGTTCTAAGCTCAAAGAGTTAAAAGAGAGTTAATGCCTAGTTGTGTATTTACACATATTTAAGTACAATTTTTTTAAAAAACAGGGTCAACTCTGGATAACCAAGTTATTATTTTCCTTAAAATGGGTCTGTTATCTTTACTTGACTAGAGATTGAGGATCCATTATTCACTGGGACACATAGACACTGCAACTCAAAAATCTATGAGAAGGTTTAGTATTGAGGCTTAAACTCCTCTCCCAACAATTGATAAAATGGAATTAAGTATTGTCAAGGGCAGTATAAATTCTAAACCACTACCTGCCACAAAAGAACAGATTTCACTCCGTAGGGAACAAACCCTTTCGAATCCATGTCAGAAGCTCTAAAAGAGAGAGTGGATGGGGCAGTTGAACAGCAAATGATCTGAGGCATGAAATTGACAAGTAAGATTAACACCAGAAAAAAAAAGCCCGTTGCTCTCAATCTTAAAATTGGCAAAGAATAAAGCCATTCCTTTTGTTGGCCTATTATTCCTCATATTTACTAAAATCATAATCTGGTCATGTACTGTGGTAGAGCCATCATGTTACTTATTTGCTTAAACATTTTACTCCTCAAAGGACTAACAAATCCTTCACTGTAAATCACCAATTACAGAAATTATAAAGATCATTTATAATAACCATAATTACTGTACACACACTATTTTTACTTGACACATTTTTGTGTATGCTTTGCACTTCTTTCATGACTACTTAATGATCACTCGTTATCATATCAACATTGCATTAGCTTAGACATGTGGACTATTTCTCCTCCTTTATAATTAATAGATTTGCAACAAATTTTTGCATAGATACCTTTATATAACAATGATTTTGTTTGATGCAAGCATATGATGATTCTACATATGTATTCCCAAAAGGAGTGTGCCAGTTTAAGCACAAATGATCTGAGGCATGACTGGTTTGACAGCATTTTTATTTTCTGTTCACTATTGATCATAGATTTTTTACAAGGATTCTTTTGGTTTTTTTGTTTGTTTTCTAAAATCAAGAATGGATGCTTAACTTTGGCAGCTGCCTTTCTAAAATCTTTTGATATGAGCGTAAGGATTTTTTCTTTACTGCTTTCCTAATTAACATGGCATATTTTGGTTTTGTTGTCCTTCTATTAAACTAGCCCTGCATTCATAAACTAAACCATCTCATGTGAATAACTCCTTGGGTATGTGGTCTCTAATGGCTCAGTAATTCTCCATCAGGGCTGAAGACAGAAACTGGCCCATATGATTAGACTTTAGAGTAAGCCACTTAGTCTTAAAGAATGTACAGGACTCCCAGCTATCTTGTCCCATTTGTAGAATACAGAACCTCAGTTCTTTACAGTTTCAGCTTTTTTTTTTTCCAAACAATTTTTTTATTCTAGCTGCTTCATCAGGAAGGGGAGAACTTCTCATTTGGGTTTTTTTCTCTTTTAGCACATTAATTAAGCCAATAGAATACTGACTTTGTTTAACTGTTAAAAGAACCAAATCTTGATTTTACTTATGGATTGCAAGGGTTTTTCATTTTTAAAATTTATTTTCGTGACAATCTTTATTATTTAATTTGATCTTTTTTACTTTGTTGCTTGCTCTTTTTCTAGGTAATTAGATAACAACTTTTCTTATCTAGATACTAGAGGAATGAAATTTCTTAAAATGTTGACATATAGCATATATGGTATTTATATTATTTAAAAAGTCTTTAATGATAGTATATTTATTCCTCCCTAATTCAATTGCTATTTAGGGTTTTTAGTTTGCCACTAATTCTATTTTAAGCAATTATTTACTTATTTAAATAGGTAGTACATACACATAGTAAGAAATTCAAAGTCAAAGAGAGAAACAATTCTCCTTTTACCCTATTCCCAGTCTTCCAAGTCTCCTCCTTTGAGGCAGCCACTTGTACTAGTCTCTCGAGCAAACTTCCAGAGAGATTTCATATGTACACATATATGACTCCTATTTATATATGGATTTCATATATATATGAAATGCAGCTTTTTATGCAAATGAGAGCATATTATACACTGTTCTGCACCTCACATATAAACCTTTAAGAGAACTGATCACAATTTTTAAAAAACTTTTATTCAACTACGGATTTTTATGTCTAATTTTACTTCATTGTGGTCTATACAGGGGGTTCTACAAAATTTCTATCTTTCTGAATTTACTAGAACTTATTACATGTGACATAGTAAATGATCAGTTTTTATGAGTCACAGAACTTTTTTTTAAGTATATTTCCCTGGCTTTGTATTTAATTTTCTCCAAATTCCTGTTGATTTTATTATTTAGTTTAAAACTCCAACTTTTTTTCTTGGTATTCTTGCTCTTTTATGATAGTGGAAAGGAATTTCCACCAAAATTAGGTTCCTGTCCATGTCTGTTTTTATATATTTATTTTATTAAGTTAGGGCATAGAACCAATGAAGTTTTCTTTCGCCATTTACTCTGCTTTTACCACTGCCTTTATTGGCTCCCCAATACATTTTAGCTTAAAAATCTACTTTCTCAGATCAAACTTGAACTTGGAGCCTTTTTATACACATGCAGTGGATAGGTATGTGCTTGGTAACTTAGAGAATATTCTTTTAATTAAGCTTAAATGGTTTGCTTGAATAGACTATTTCATCTAGGATTTAAACTCAAAGTGATGTGTCTCTACTAATAACTATATTCCAAACATCAATTACTTAATAAAAGGATTTTTCCAGCATCTGCAGAAAAGGCCTGTTCACTAGCACTGGGGGCAGGAAGGGAAAGTGGAAGACACTGTGGCTTTTTTCTGATTTTATCCTCTTGAAATGCAGACCAACATGCTTAATGACCGGGCATTAGTGAACTTTCAGGGTGGAATATACTTTGTAAATGATGACAGGTATGCCAGGTTGACAAGGTATTACGGTACTTCATGCTGTTATATACTGGGTACCTTGGGTAATTGGCTGGTCTGCAAGAACATGATTGTCACCAAACTCTGTAGTTTAAACACCCCCATAAATCCTTTTAATACAGCAATACACTATTTATAAAATCCCATGGCATTAACAGTTCTAAAAATGTGTCACACTTATATAGTTAACATGAGATATGTATACAAATACAGGTACACACACATATATATAAATGCCTTATCAAGAATATTCTCATTTTAAATAATTACTTGTAAATAGACAAAGATTATGAAGTCCTTCTTCCACAAACATCTGTTTTTAGATCCATCAGCCAGGAAGGAAGTGCCTTTCTTATATACCAACAGAGCATTACTGAATCACAACTTCATAAATGCTAACTATGTAAAAACTGAAAATTGAAAGCCACAGTTTCTAATATTAGTACTGAAATTCACAATGTCATCCTCAAAGTTCCCCTAAATAACCACCTTTAATGTAGTTCAAAGTTTCTCTCAGTTTAAGGAATATTCAAATCTAGTTTTATGAGAAACATGAATATTTTATTTCCTCACTGCATTAAATAGCATTAATTCCTGACAGCTCTCTCAGAGTTTCAAGCTTGTCTACCTCCAGAGAAAAAGGAAAACACAATTTGGGGCTGAATGAGACCAAAATTAGAGGAATCAGGGTACTGAATTAGAAAACCTGCAAACCGATGTTTCTAAGAAAGGCTGTATGAAAGCAGCATGTAACCAGTTAATCCAGGATTTCCCTATAGGTCCTCACTTCTGCTTCCAGACGTTGCAATACCCAAATGTGGGGCATAAACATTTCACCTTCCAGAGCTTCTCATATCTAGACATCTGATGACAGTTGTTTTCAAAGAAAAAGAACCTTCTTAATTCACTTAGATAATTGAGATCTTGCTGGTCTCATAAATTGTACAGCCTACCAAGTACTAATTTTACTTTTATAATGATACCTCCAGTTCGTATCTAGGAAGTAACTAAGGAATAAGAGAATGTATAAGGGTCTAGTATTCACGTACTGAAATAATTTCCTATTTCCTCTAAAGGTAATTCTTCGATGAAGGGGTACAAGAAGTCAGTAAAAGCAGATCTCCATTCATTGCACTATTCATTTCGGTCTCCCTGCCAGAGACAGTGTTCTGCCCAATGATACTGTGATATAATATAATGAGAGCCTCCTGTCAACTTAAGCACTAAAGCCCCTCAAGGAGGGTTCAGAATGGATGGACCTCCTCATACAGTGGATTATGTTACAGCGAGAAGGAATAAAGTTGCCACTGCCACGAGAGGCCATGATTCTCACATCAGTTCCTCTGTAAAACAGACTGATCAGTAGCCAGGAATGAAAACAATAATAAAGGATTATTTTGATGGTGTTAAGGGAAGAGATAATAAGATATCTCTGGAAAGTTGTGGAAGACCAAGTCCTAATGAGGGGTGGGAGAAGATGATAGAGGCTCCACAGAACTCAAGACACATAAATTTCAAATACCCAGCCAAGATTTGGACATGTACAGGTAATTCCCCAAACTCTTCAAAAAATGACAATTGAATTCACCATTCTTTAAATGAATGCTTCAGTACCTCAGCAATCACTAAGAGCCCTTCAGTACTGGAAATTAAAATAATTAATGACATTGCTTTATACTGAAATTATTTTACAGATATGAAAACAGGGAGATTAAATTCTCCCATGTGTAAGGCTACCCCAGAAGTACGTAAACCTTGACACCCATTCACCTACACCGAGTCTCTGCAGAGCTGAAAGGATGGGTACTCAGTGAGATCAAACAACTATTGAATAATTCTTCTGACCTGCAAAATGAGAACGAAGTAGTCTACAGGTTTGTTTCGCTGGTAGAGGTAGTATTCTGGGGCTTTCTTGTTCTTCTCATCATACTTCAGTTCCTGGATGACATTGGGGTGCTTTAGCAGCCTTAGAAGGATCTTCTCTGACATCTGGGATGGGCTAAATGCTTCTACTTCTATAGATATAAACACAACTTGATATTACACTTCAAGTGGATGGAAAAAATCATACCAGTGATTACGGTGTTGATACAATATGGATTAACGAGACTTCCATTTGGTGATCCATTGGGGGGCAGATTACCTGGGAGAAATAAGAAAATCCTGAATTCTCATATTTGTTTCTTTAAAATTTTTCCTTTTCGACCTGGAATTGGTTTTAGTTCTCATAAAATACCCTACTTTTCTGACTGTTATAAATGAGAATCGACCAGACACAGGCTCCTGACTGCCAGGATGCCCTTTGCCAAGGCCACAATAGTCTGACTGTCCAACAAGAGCCAAAGGAAGAAGCAAAGGTCAGGAAGCATGTAGGTGTGGGTTAGTAGCAGGTGCACAGAGTGCTCCACCTCTCTCTTCCACTCAAATACCCTGAGAAAGCCTGGGAACAAAGGAAGGTAGGGATTCAAGATAAAAGCAAGGCACGTGCACACATCAACATGCACTCCAACTCGCTAAATTAAAAAACAACAACAAAGTAATGCTGATCTGTATTTACAAAGGTATGATTTTCTTTAAAATAACAAAAACCCAAATTACTGACTTAAGGGTACTATGCTGAAACTGGACCTTGTGGTATCCCAGAGGCAGAGCAGTGTACGCTTGGTTTTAACTTGTGGTTCTTAAATGATGAAGAACAATATTATCAGAATTAGAAAAGAAGTAAGTTAAAGATACTGTTTATACATTTAAAAAATTTTTAATTGTTATATATGAAACCTTAAATAAATTCTATATTAGCTTCTGTGACCTTTCTGTAACAAAAAAAGGGAAATAGTATGTTGCAGAAATTTTAGAAAACACAGAAAAAAATGAAGAGGAAAATTAAATTACCTATAAGCCAACAACTCATAACCACTGTGAGCAATTGGTGAGCACTTCTTTCCAGGACCTTGCCTAGGCATGAGTGCCTGTATATATATTTGTACGTACACATGAAAACAGAATGATAATTGTACTGTACACACAATTTTATATATTTTTTCTCACTTTAAATGAGTATTTTCCTATGTCAAAATTCTATTGTGAAAACATTTCTTTGTATTTGAAAACATGATCTTAAAGGGTGTGTAATATTCCATCCCGTGGTGGCTGTCAGCCTTCTTTTCAAAGTATCTTAAGTACACTGCATGCATTTGAAAGCCACTGGCTGCACAGACGTCTTCAACCGGTCTCTGGGTACTTTCAGATTTTCTCACATTTCCCCTGGCCAGCAGAGCTCACCCTTCATCTAAAGAGCCATTCAGGGAGGTGAGAAGGGTTAGTCATTCCCTTTAGTCCATTCAACCTTGACCCCTCTGGAGCGGTCAGTGCCGGCTGGGTTGGTGGCTTTAATAAAGTGAACACTTGCTTCCTGGAATGGCCCGACACAACAGTCTGATCTGAGGGGCCGCCAAGAAATCCATGTCAAAGTTCGTAGAATTTCTGACTTCATTAAAACCATAAAAGGTACAGATTTAATTTTCACAATCTCGTTTTCTTCTTTGCAAATCATAGTGCTTGTGTCACCACTGATGTCCAACCGCTCTTCCAAGGCAAGGTGAAGACAGAATCACTCAGCTGTCCAACACGCAATGAGGTTTGTCTCGTTCGTTCGCGCCGTCAGCCTGCTCCACCAGCTGGCTCTCCCCTGGCCGTGGCTGGGAGCAGGTGACCTGGCCTACTGTTCGCATGCAGTGTGGCACCAACATTCATCCTTACCTTTCAGACCAATTTTAAGTTACTGGTCCACCCCTGGTAAATGTCTCAGAGGGTTCATGCCGACACTGAACACAGGAGAGGAGAGAATTTAAAAAGAAAAGAAAACAAAACAAAACAAACAAAAGAAAAAAACAAAAAACAAAACACAAAAGTGGCATTACTTATCACCCCATTTCCCAGTCTCCACCCCCAGCCTCCCCCAGCCAGGGGTGGGAGAGAAACAGGCTCCAGGGTCCGTAGAGATTGCAAACTGTGATAAGCTGCACTTGCCTGTTGCTAGGAAACGGTGCATGGCCAAGAGAAGCTGTGGTGATATTTTAACCTTCATCTCGCTGTCTGTCTGCTTAAAGGCAGAAAAATCTTGCTTTCTTTCACGATGGGCCACTTTCTTTTTCGTTCTGTTATCGGCTAAGGGAAGAATGGGAAAAGAAAAAAGTAAGGAAATGCATCCCATTAGATCACAGCTCTTTCTGAATGAAAATGACAAAACACATTGGAAAAGCTAGACTCTCTCTCCAGATTATGGACGCGTCACGTACAAACACCACCTGGAAAGAGACACAATCCCCACCGAGTCAGTGCTGCATAGTCAGGACACAGTCCCAAGTAAACAATTAACAGGCAAGCTGATTAGCAGCAACTACAAACATACTTCATGATTTATAAGTACATTACTGGGCAGCCTTGGACAAAACCCTCAGAGAACCTCTGTAAGCCACAGGGAACATAGCTTGGGGTGCACACCAAGTCTCCTGCGGCTCAGTGTCACCCTGCTGCAATGGAGAACCACCACTGTGCTATGGGAGACAGAAGGGAAGGGTATCCCTGCCTTTCAGAGGCTCCCAGCCCCTGCTGGAAACACACAAACAAAACCTCCTGAGAAATGAACAAGACAACTTTCATAGAACAATATAGCAGTAATAATACCTGTTAGCTTCCTTTCCACCCCAGGCCATGAGATCCTTAAGGTCAAGCAAACATGAAGTGATCCAGAATAGAGGTCAGCAAACTTCCACTAGGAGTATTTCAGGCTCTGTGGGCCACAGAGTCTCTGTTGTAACTACTCAACTCGGCTGCTCAGAAAAGCAGCCATTATGTAAGTGAATTAACGTGGCTCTGTTCCAATAAAACTCTATTATGGACATGAAATTTCAATTTCACATCATTTTCACATGGCAGAAAATTATTACTCTTTCGACGTTTTTCAGCAATTAAAAAATCCTTTTAAGAAACAATCTTACCTTGTGGGCCATACAAAAACTGTGGCAAGCACTCATGATCTAGTTTGCCAAGTATTTTTCCGGACAAAGTAATGGTCAAGAAAAAACTGGGTTAAAGACAAGACCACAGTTGCTTGCTCCTTTCCCAGGAATCATGATTTTATGCTGCTGGCAAAAGAAACTGACTACTAGGCTTGTCCTGGGGAGAAGGAGGTCACGACTTATAATTTTCTTCTGTCTCAAATTCTTTTGAGAATCAGATAGTATAAAGCAATAAAAATTTTTTAAAAATTTCTTCTGGCAAAGGCAGTCCTCAGCCCTGATCTCCTGTCTAGATCAAGAATATACCTGAAACCACAAAGTCAGCATTTCCTATCAGTAGTCATGTTAGGCAACACTTCCGTATGAAACCAGTCTAACCACGGTTTAAAAGTTAACCGAAGTAAAAAAAGTAAAATCTCAGAAATGTCTAAATTATCTTTTTTATGATGGGTACTATCCCTGGGGAAACATAAATATAGAGACACTCGCGGTATTAAATAGGCACTGTGATAAAAAGAACAGAAACACAAAACAATATTCCCTATAATGAGAACCCCGACTATTCTCCAAGTGTCAAAAGGATAAAACACACAAGAACTCGTGTTTTTTAAAAACACTATACAGGTGTGAGAAAAAATACAAAAAGCAGGTCCTTACATAAATATAGAATTTATTGTCTTAGGGCGCATGGAAGACTCAAGTTTAAAATGAAACACATTGCCTTCTAGCAGGACTGAATAAAATCACTCTGCTCTGAGCTAGGCTGGCTTTGTCCCAGGTGCCCCAGGCCACCTGAACTGTCCATGTGCCCCTCCAAGTCATGTTTTAAAAGCCAAACGGGACAAACAGAGCCCAGGTGCTCTTTCTCTGACCTTTGAGAACCCCAAGCATATCAGACCTGGGACCATTTCCGACATTAAAAAATCTTGAGTCTTCCTTTGCCAACAGTGAGGCTGAGGAAGAAGATTTAAGCTCCAGTTATGGACTTTAAAGAAATAAGATTCAATGCTCAGCCTAGGATCAAGCCCACTCCTGGGCAAACAGCTTTGGATCCTCCCCTCCCCCAGCCCTAAGCCAAGCCACCCCTGGCACACATCTACCCCTGTCCCCACAAAGAAGGCAGAGAAGGAGAGAAAGGGAAAAGCACATTTTTATTGTGTACCCTTCTTCCCCTGCCCTGCCTCCTGTATCCCCACCTTGCCACCCTTGCCCAGCAAAACTACAGTTGCAAACCTCACCTCTAAACCTGGACCATGCATTCTGGAATAAGAAATGGACACAGTTGCTATCCATCAATTCAATAAATCCCCCTCACTTTTAAGTACTTGAATTATAACCTTAAGTAGAAAAAGTGTGAAAACAATTTGCCTAGATGTGTGAAATGAAAACTTAGTAAAGAATAGTTTTTTTTTCTACATGTAAAATAAATGTAAAAAACCAATAATGGAGTTTTCTGCTCAGGGCAAGTAATGCTCAGATCAATGGTTAGCAGCGGTTGAGTTGATGAACAAATGAAAAAACCACTACCACCTGACATTACAGGAGCTGGCTCCTCTTCTGAGGAAGGGAGTGGAACACTGTACGCCGCCTACGCACATTGCATAATTAGCATCAGAGGCAGACAAGTGCAGAGATAACAGGTGACTCACAGACACGACAAAAAACGCAAAGGCTTCGGGAAATTACACGCAGACAATGCTACTCACTGTATAAATCTGTTTCATCTAGAATCTCAGATTTGATGATTTCTTCAATCACATCTTCTAACGTGACAATTCCCAGAACTTCATAAAATGGATCCCCTTCTCCCTCATTGTTTACTCGCTGCACAATAGCCAGGTGAGATTTACCTTTAAAGAGAAGAAAACAGTTTAAGAGGTAATTTGCTGAATTTCCCCAATGAAGCTTTGAATGATTATGGTTAAAAAAAAAACAATAGCAGCAAACACAGGTAGCAGATTATCGAATCTGCATTTCAGCATTTAAAAATGGGATGGAAATATTACAAATGAAAAGGCTTCATGAGCCCTCAAAAGCAAGACCAGCTAAGCCAGAAGCGCATCATCTTCTGCACACTGCATTGCACCATGTTACATTGCTTCCTAGTGGATCTGGTCTTCAGTAATGTCAGCTCTTCCTTTGTGACCTTTTAGCAACTGCTGCTTTACTTCAGGAGAGCAGTTCTCAAAACGTGGTCCTCCATGGACCCTAGGGATGCCCAAGACCTTCTTAGGAGGTCAGTGAGGTCAAATTATTTTCTTTAGAATGAAATATTCCTGGCCTTTTTTCACTGTCCTGACACTTGAACCAATGGTACAAAGATGCCTGAGCACAAATCAGTGGTAGGAAAATGTACTAAGTGGCCACCGTGTTCTTTTCTACACCACACACAACAGAAGGGAAAAAGAGCGTCTCTTAAGGAAGTCCTTGAAGCGGTAAAAATTAATTTCATTACATCTTAACCCATCTTTTGACACTGTGACAAAATGTGAAGGTTGCTTCTACTGCATCTCAAGTTCGACAGCTAAGTTGAGGAAAAGCACTTTGGAACCGTGCAACTGTTGGAACTGCAGGCCAGTCTCGCCACTCTTCTCACCAAACATCATTTTCACTTGAAAGAATGACCACCAGAAAAAGTATGGTTATTTAGACTTGGCTCTTTGTCAGACATTTTCTTGAAAATGAACAAAATGGCCTGTTTTATTAAGGAAAACAATAGCAGTGTTTCCTGCCACTGATAAATTCTGGGAAAATGTGAAGTTTGGGAAGCTTGTGTCCACCACTGTGAGCTTGAGAACTTCTCAATGAAGACTTTTCTGTTGAGATGGATGGTGACATTAACAAGTGTGACTTTGAACTATTTGAATAATGAAATGTGCCAACATTTATTTCATAGATCTGCAGAACTCAATGAACGGCTGTTTTTCCAATGACCGTGGCAATCACGCACAGGTCAACGATCTACTCAGAGTGAAAGACCTAACAACACATTTTTTTTAAATAAACTTTTCTTTTGGAATAATTTTAGATCTACAGACAAGTTGTGAAGATAGTACAGAGTTACTGTGCACCCTTTACCCAGTTGCTCCTATTAACACCTGATATTACCACGACATATCTGTCAAAACTAAGAAATTGATACTGACATGGTACTATTAACTCCAGACTTATTTTTCACCATTTTTTCCATCAGTGTCCTCTTTCTGTCCCAGTCTTCAACCAGGAGGCCACCTGGCATTTAGCTGTCACACACCCCAGTCCCCTCTGGCCTCTGACAGCATCTCAGCCTTTCCTTGTTTTTCATGGCCTTGACAGTCAAGGAGCACTAGGCAGGCGCCCTGCAGAAAGCCCGCTGATTTGAGTTTGTCTGATGTTTTCTCATGATTAAATTGGGATTCCGAGTTTTCTAGCTACATCACAGCAGGGCTCACATGACAGCTGCGTGACTTCACAGGCCATGTTCACCTCCACGACTTGATAAAGGTAGTGTTTTCCAAGTTTCTCCGCCTGAAGTCACTGATGTTTTCCTTTCCCTACCTAATTCTAGCCTTGGGGAAGCAAGTCATTAAGTCTGGTCCACCCTCAGGGAGGGGTGAGAAGTAGGAATTTAGCTCTGCCCCCTGAAGTGGGGAAGTATCCAGGTATTTTATTCAAAATTCTTCCATATGGAAGATTTCAGACCATAGGATTTTAATTTAATAGTGTACCAAAAGTTCACTGGTATAGTTACAGATTCTATATCGCAACTAATCTTTAAAAAGCTACCATTTGTGGAGTTTGGGTACAGCATCAAAGGAGAACATCCACAATTGTCCAAAAAGGCTATTAAAATAACCTCACCCTTTTCCAAATACATATATCTACATTAGGCCAGATTTTCTTCATACTTTTTACCTAAAACAGTGTACTGCACAGACTGAATGCAGAAGTTGTGAAAATCAAACTAGATATGCAAAAAGGTAAACCAATGACACTCTTCTATTTCTGTTTTGGAAAAACAAAAAATTTGTTAACATGTAACAGATTTATTATTGTCCATTAAAATTTTTTATGTTAACATGTAATGGATTATTGTCCATTAAAAACTAGGTAAGGAGATGTTTTAAATTCTCCATCTTACTTTAAAATACAGTAATTATCAAAAGAGATAACCCACATGAACAAAAGTTCAAGGATCCTCAAATTTTAAGAGTTTAAAAGGCTCTTAAGCCAAAAAAAAGTTAAGAGCTGCTGCCACAGGAGATGTCCAGAACAGTGAGGGAAGAACACGCCGAGCGGATGGTCTCGGATTTGAACTCCAGCACTGCCACTTACTAGCCATTACTAGCTGTGTGATCATGAGCAAACCACACAGCTTTTCTGAGCCTCAGTCTCATCTCTAAAACTAAGCTTGTACTAACTGCTGCCACACAGGATCACTGTGAATATCAGAGACAATGTTGGTGCCCAGCAACAACAGTGCCTGGGATCCACTGGGTGATGAATGAATGGTGATCAAGCTCTTATCTTCTTAACATTCTTCCTCAATTCTAAGGCTCCATCAACTTATTACCAGCCTTGCAAAAGCCCCACTACATTCAGTGTATACCATGGTTAAAAGATGCATTTCAATTTCAGAAATATCTTTTGAAACACTAAGTGCATCTCTTGGACACCCATATTGGTTTTCCATATCCAAGACACACGAGACATCTACAACATATCCTTGAGTTAAGTCAAGTAGACATGATCTGGAAATTTCATGATCCATTGATGTGTATGCTATTTTTTTAAATAGGGTGGTTGTGAGGTGGGGTGGGGAGTCCCTTAAAGTTTACTTAAGACTTTAAATTGGGTGAGTCCACTCAGACACAACCAGCTAGAAAAACTTAAACTATTCTCTGAAGGCCAGGTTCTCATCAAGTTTCCAGCACTCAGAAACTGGCTCTGGTTCTGTAGGTTTGTTGGTCCATTTCTATTCTGCCTCAGGCCCCTCTACAGGCAATAATGTCGGAAAGCCTAGAAGTTTAGATTGTTAGACAATTAGGCATCCTAACAATTTTCATCCTTAGCATGCTCATGCTCAAAGAATGAAAATATTTTGAGCAAATGAGACTAGGAGGGAAACTTACCAGCGATAGATATAAACTACCCATCAGGTCAAGTCAATGCTAGTCAATTCAGACCACTCAGTGGCTCACATCTGCTTTCCCAAGGACCCAAACATAAGCAGTTAAAAATTCTTGGTGAATGCTGTCTGTCGAAAGTTAAATTCTTTTGCTATTCCCAGCTTGTGATCATTTAAAAGGAATTTTCCAAAGCAAGGTCTAATATTAGACTCAAAATGAAGTTTCCATTCCACTGAGGCGCTATTCTCACCAAAGTAACTACCGCATAATCAGATTGTCTTGGAGCAATTCGTTTAAATGCAGATGGACATACTTGAAATACCAGCCCGACAGCACCAACAGATCTGACTGGAAAGCGCCTTACTCCAGGAGAACTTATGCATGTGAGTTAGGCTTCTTAGACTGAAAATTATTTTCTTCTGAGCTCACTTGCAGTCTTTCACACCCCGATCTCCAATGTTGAAATTTCTGCATCAGTCCCACAGCCACATTCTTTCAGCTTTGCAATTCCTGGTAGGAAGTCCTGTTTTCTGAACCTTCCCGGTAAGCAGAACCAAAAAAATGACACCCTCCTTCTATAATCTTGCTTTGGGAGAAGAGCAAGGCCATGCACATGCCCCCACTTAACCACTCGGTACAGGGAGAACATCTTTGGCCTTATCAATGGAGTGATCAAAAGGAAAATGTAAATAACTTGTCAACACAGAAATTTAAAAACTGAGCTCAAATAGCATCCGTTTTAATCTGGGCATGGGAGGAATTAAGTCAAGATTGAAAGCAGAATAGCAACTCTGGGGAAACTAGTAAAAGACCAAACCAAAAATTTTAAATATTATGAACCTATGGATTCCTAACTTCCAAAGAGAAGAGTAAAACTAAAGCAATCAACAATATACATAATCATAAGCATTAAGTAACACTAAAACTTTTTAATATAAACTAAATAAACATAATAAACCATATATAGAACAAACAAAGCATACTGCTGTCACACTAGAGCTTGGAGAGAGCCCTTTCTGGTGGCTCTAAGAGCTCCTGCAGTGTTCTGGACCTAAATACAAGCCCCCAGCTTCCCTCCTCCTAGTCTGGCCCTAGAAGTGGAGGAAAAGGGATCACTAAGTCAGGTGTAAGAGAACCTAAGCAGGCCTGTTTCCAGAGAACAGGACTCTATGAATACAACTACCTTCAAATCCAGAATCATAAATTATTATAAAAGTAACAAACTAGATTGCTCATCTTTCCGTAACTGCTGTGTGCTCAAGACAGCATGGCTGCACAGTTGAAATTACAAGAACATGTCTTTGTTGTGAGATGGACTGAGGAAATAGATGATCTGTGTGTGGTAAAACTGGGATCAACTTTCTGCCTCTGTCTGCTTCCACTGCTCTCCAACTCCATGTTTATTATTTGCACATTCTCTCTGGATTGGTAAACCAGCCCAGAGAGCAGCAGGCTGACACATTTCCACCTTCTAACCTTACCACAAATTCCAGGCCCAAAATCTGAAAGACAGACACCATCTGTGTGTTGATGGGAATGACCGCCTGGACCACCTGACAAAGGTACCTCCAGCGCGTCATGAAACATGGACTCATGTGCTGGCATACAAAGCTGATGTCAAAGAAGTGAAATGGAACAGCGGACTGATAAACTGAAATAGGTAAGGAAGAAAGCCAAGAGGAGGATGAAGTAGAGTGGAATTAGGAACAATGCAACACGGCTGTGCTCATCAAAAATGATAG